CTTCTATGCATTTGAGCTGTCCTCCAGCCATGGCAGAGGTGGCTTGGTGAAAAGTATGCACATTTCTCGCAAGACAGCTAAAGTCAAACACCCCCTTGTTCTCTTTGCCTCCTGTAGCCTGGTGGTTTAAAGGGGAGATAAGCACGTTTTTGATAGCTCCTCCCATAGTTTAGGCTTCATAGGTTCCAAGGAATCCTGTGGTTTTTAGTACAACATCCCCCTCCATCTTTCAAGGAGCCCAGATTCCCTACACACACAGACAAACCTTGAGGGTGTTTCGCAAGCTTCTAAGAAATCTAGCCCTGAAACTGGGGATCGTTTTTCTGATTGTAGTAGAGACCAGTACACCTGAGAATTGTCCTTAATGTGAGCCTCGCCAGACCAGCAGGTCAGAAACCACAACTGTCTGGGTCTTTCTCCTGTTCGTTGTGTGCTTCCTGGAGTAGGAGGTGGTGGAAGTTAGACAAAGGCAGAGGAGAGGACTTTGTGTTTAAGCAGGACTGAATGTTTTTCTCCCAGTGTTGTCAGGGTTGGAGGAGGGGAAGGCAGCCCAAGCTGCCCAGTGCTGTTGGTTTTAATGGACTGAAATCACTTGGAGATTTTTTTTTTTTTTTTTTTTTTGCAACACTGCTGAATTTAACTTTTTTGTAAAGTACTTACAGATACATTGTTTACAATCCTTTTTTTTTAAGAGACGGTCTTTACTGGGTCTGCCCCCCACCCCCCAGCTGGAATTGATGGAGATTATTTTTATTGTCCCCAGGATTAAAAAATTAACCCTGCACACATCTGATCATAAAAGATTGTTGAAGTTTCAAAAATAAAAGGTGGAGTGAAGCACCGCAGGCCACCTGTGTATGTTATTGGCCTTCCTAACTTTGCTTTAGGCACCTACCTTTCTCTAGAGACCAGAAGGGGGGGTGCTAATTCCTCGGGTGCTCGTGTTTCAGGACAATTGGTTCTCTAGTCCTAAAGACATAGCGTTAGAGTGTGCTTGTACCGTGCATGAGGGTTTGATCCCCAGCACCTGTACTCCAAAACAACAAGGATGTTTTTCCATGTTGCAAAACTGAAGAAGCTGCATATATTTCAAAGGGGGTAGAGAAAGAATTTATGACTGCAAGTTTTCTAAAGCCAATGCCCTAATAAAAGGGAGTGTAGGACTTAGAGTTAGGAAAAAACCTGCCTGAAGGTTAGCCAAACTGGGGAGAATGTTAAGGTCCTCTTGGCCACCCTCTAAGGCAGTCCTTTATAAATGCACCCCAAGGTTCACTACCACCACTTGAGAAGGACCTTAAACCCAATGATACACAAACCTGGAGATTTCAGGTCTCTGTGTGGGTACCTTCTCATGAATAGCCCATTGAAAGGCACACATAAATGTTTCCTTTTAATGCTTTCAAGCAAGAGTGCTTTCACTGATTAACTCAATAAGCATTTGTAGAGTGTCTGGTTAGTGCCAGGAACCATAGGAAGCATCACAAGGTGGAAACTTGCCCACCCACAGGCCTCATGGCACCAGAGGAAACGGGTGAATAAATAGACATTTTAGATATAATGTGAGAGTGTCTCGGGGCTGGGGATTTAGCTCAGCGGCAAAAGCGCCTGCCTGGCAAGCGCAAGGTCGTGAGTTCAGTTCCCGGTACCGGAGAAAAACCAAAAAAAAAAAAAAAAAAATGTGAGAGTGTCTCAAAATATTAAATATGGAGTTGCCGTGCAGTGAAGGTAAAAGCAAAGAAATCCTGCGTGCAGGAAAGCATGTGCCCAAATGTGCGTGCAAAGCAGCACTTTCCACGGTCACCAAAAGATGGAGACCCTGTGGTCATCAGATGATGAAACAAAATGTGGTCTGATCCTATTACTCTTTGACAATAAAAAGGAATGAAAACTAGAAATGCAAAAAACCTGATATGCCCTTCACCATGGGTAAACCTTTCCAAGTGAAAGCAGCCAGACACATACTGTGTGACCCCGTTTCAGTGCAGTGTCTGGAAGAGGTGACTCTACAGAGACAGACACAGATGAGCACCTGCCTGAGCCGTGGGGCTGGGAAAATGAGAATGATTCTTTGTGGGTGTGAAGCTTCTTCAGAAGGGAAATGAAAATGCTCTAAAATTGTGATGGCTGCACAATCTTGTGAATATACTAAAAACCATTGAATCAGAGAGAAAGAGGCTGTGTGTGTGTGTGTGTGCGTGCTCACATGTGCGTGCGCTCCTGTGCACGTGTGCAGATGTGCCTGGTGCTAGAAGACCCAGGGCTTTTCACATGATAGGCAAATGTTCTACCAGTGAACTACACCCCTAACCTCAAAATGAACAATTTAGATGGGTAAATTGTGTATGGTGAGTAAACCGCACCTCAAAAAAACCTGTTACACACATACATACGAAACATGTAAAAATAATTTCAGGATTTTTTTCTATAGGAGTCAAGGGCAGGGAGTTGGTATCAGGCAAATATCAAAAAGGAAGTGTAGGCTGAAATAAAACCAAGGTTTCCAAAGCCCTGTTAGCATGGAAGCCATTGTCAGAGGCCTGAGCATAGGCCCTTCTGGGGATCCATAGGCAGTTGAATAATTCCACAGGAACATGTGGATGGGCTGGGGGCAGCTGGAACTAGTCACTGGGACAAGTTTGGCCTTCATCCCTGAGGCAGTTCAAAATGACAGTAGAGGCACAGACTGGGGAAGGTTACCTGGGTTCAGTTTTGGCTCACTCAGCTACGTGGCCATGAGCAGGTATCTTTGCCTGTCTGTGCTTTATTCCCCGCCCCTACCATATAGTTCACCGCGAGCATGAGAATTAACATGTCCAAAGTCTTTGGAATGGTGCCTGGCAGGCACCAACATTGCATGTGTGTTTGCTAACATGACACAGAAATGAACCACTGGACAATTTTAAGCAGGCAAGTGACAGGACTTTCAGGAAGACCTGCCTCCCACTGATGTCGAGGGAGAGCCGGGTTCGATGTGAACCAGATTCGTTGTTGCAATCACCCTCAACAGCAACTTCTGAAGAGGGCAGGAGCAGTAGCAAAGGTGAATTTGAAAACTTTTAGGAAATACAGTCAATAGAATGAGATAACTAATGAGCTCTGGACAACAGGGAGTTGGGAGGGGTGTGGTGGACGGCTCCTGGGTTTCTAGCTTGGATACCTGGGTGGTGGGATGGTGAGATCATTCACTGAGATGGAGAAAGAGGAAAAAGAGAAAGCTCAATGAACATGTCATTGGGCAAAGCCACTATACAGTACTTTTCTTTTGACATTGAATTCAGTATTCTCTCACTCTCCCCCACCACCACCATTAGAATTGTACCTCTGCTTCGAGGTGGTGACTTGTTAATACTTGGATGTTTGCTGCCGCAAGGAGGCCACCTCTGCAGCACATTCAGCTGTGGGGAGCTGGGTGCCAGTGGTCTACAAGGAGAGGAGCTTCTGAAGGAACTGAGAGGATGTAGAAACCTGCTATGGTCCTACCATTTCTCGGAGAAGCTCTGTGTAGCCAATAGAAATCTCAAGCCACCATGTGTGTGAGAAATCCAAACCTCCTTTTCCAGAACTAAGCTTCGTTTCCATGTCAGGCTCCCACCCCTCCACTCAGTGCATTCTGGATCTCGTGCCACTTTCTCCCGGGCTGCCTCTGTGAGAACAGCATGAGGTCTGAGGTTCTTCCCTAGGGTCTTTGCACATCAACTGTCTATAGTCAGCATTCATCAGGGGATGGTGTGACTGCGGGGAAGCTGGATAGGTTTACCCAGAGCCATCGGCCCACTGGTTAGCACAAGACCTGGGGTAAAGCAGATGTTGAATTAATATTTATGTTTGAAATGGATGGAACTGAAAAAGGTACAAGTGGAGGTAAAGTGCCAAGGACGTCATAGGCATTTCCCACACCCACCTTTTCACCCAGGCGTCTCATCGAAATGGCTCTGTGCCTGGCCTCTCCCTCTCTCAGGGACATGGAGCTAATCTGACAGATGGATCCTTGCTGATCTGTCCTGATGTGTATGACTCCTCCTGCCATTAACATTTATTTCCTGGCCAATGGTCAAGTTCGTGCAGATGTTAACAACCACATCCTATGAGAAAGGAGCTCCAGATAGGTCCACATGGGTTGGGTTTTAGATCTAGTGATGGTCACCATTAGAACAATTCTAAACAGCACACAAGGGTAATTCTTCAGTTAGTAACAAAATATTGAGGATGGCTCATAATAAATGACAAGGCCAGAAACATCCTCTCTAGTGAGTATAGGAAGATCCAGGCTGGCCAAAAGGATGGTGTTCTGTCACCCGACAGCCCCAGCTTCATTAGTGATCCTACTTCTAGGATCCTACTTGCTCTCTCATGTAAGGAAGTGGGTGGGTGTGGCCCTGAGGAACTGTGGTGAGCTGTGGTCTTTCCAAGTGCTTCAGGGGAAGGCAGATCGACTCTCTTCCTCACTGTCTTTAAAGGACCTAGGACCTCCGATCGTACAGGTCCATGTCCACTTGGCGGTGCTTCCAGCTGGGGACTGTGTTGAGGGAGCGGTTCTTTGGTTATCATCAGAATGACCCACAGGCCTGTGTGTCACCGAGTGGCCATTCCAGACATTAACATCCCTCCTTGCCTGATATTTGAAGGAAAATGATCCCCACTCACTGCTCCCCTCTTCTTCCCTGTCCCCACATGTCCTTGCCTTGGGGAAGAGTGTCCTGACATCCCTGGAGCAGAAGCAATGCACACTTTGAAACCTGCCCTTGGTCTCGGAATCCTGATGCTTGGGCTGGGCATTCTCGACAACAACTCCTTGCGTGTAGGTGTTGGAAAGGCCACTTCAAAACCGTCCCAGCCAGGAGCCTGGACAACAAGCTCTGCTTCTGTAGAGGTTTGCCAGGTGCCAAAAACATCTCCAGTGCTCTGGCCAGGAGCAGCCAATGGAAACCGCAGCCAGGAGCCCTCCCACTCTCCCGCAGTGGCATCCCAGCCTCCTGCCTCTCTCTTCCCTTTCGCTCGCCTGTCCTGGCTGACTTAAAAGTAAGTACCAGGCTGGTGGTGGCATCGGAGGCTGCAGGACACTTCAACTGCCCTGTGGATCCTAAGGGAGCCTCAGCGCCCACAAAGATGACTTGGAGACAGGTCCTCCTCCTGTCCTGCCTCTCAGCCATGGTGCTCCTGTCTAGTGAGTATGGGAACGTCCAGGGTGGACTTGGCTAGCTGCACAGTATGACTTGCCTTACACAGGTGAGTCTGCTCAGGTGATGCTGGGAGGAGGAGTGTGTTTATGAAGATGGCCATCCTTGGGATCTCTGTGTGTGTGAGAGAGAGGGGATATAGAGAAAAGTAGCAAAGAAGGGAAACCCCACTTTCCTGGTGGGTTCCTGGGGACATTGGCTCTGTGGCTGCTGTATAAGGGACAGAGGGTCCCACTCACATGAGATCTGGAAAGCCACAGCCTAGAAAGAGCTCTTGAGGACTTGCCTGGCATCTGTGCGCCCTCTGTTGCTGCAGCCCCTTTCCCTTGTGTCCTTGTATCTAGTGCTTCGGGAGGGCACCAGCGCGTCGGTGGGCAGCAGGCAGATGGCGGGAGAAGCCCAGGAAGGTGAGTGGGGGGACCTGCCTCTGGGGTGCAGGACAGCCCTGGCCTCTGTGCTGGTTTTGATGGGCTCCTCTCGGGTTTCAGGTGTGAGACAGAAGGTTTTCATGCAGGAATCGGATGCCTCAAATTTCCTCAAGAGACGCAGCAAGCGTTCCCCCAAATCGCGCAATGAGGTCAATGGTAAGAATGCTGGATGACCTGACTCCTGCAGCACAGAACCAAGGGTTCAGCCAAGCCCTTTGGGCAACAGGGTAACTGCAGTGCTGAATGAGAAATATTCCACACTCTCTTAATTGTGGGTCACAGGTTGGGCTGAATGTATTCTTAGGGTGTGGAAGAAAAAGGAACAGGGACACATCCAATACATCTAGCAGTTTCCTTCCCACTTTAGAAAGGGGAAAGTGTGAAAGGGGAATAGCTGCTCTGGTCTAGAGGAAACACAGCACTTTGATATGTTTCTGGGGGCCTTGGCATGGTGCACCAGAGAACAACAGTGTGGTGTTCAGGGAAAGAACACAGGGGACAGCAGTGCTGAGAAGTGAGGCACGGTGACAGCTGTGCTACTGAGTGGCGTTGGCCACTTCCTCCCATGATCCTGGTTTCCTTGTAGATAAACCCCTGAAAAGGCTGTGTCCAGCCAGCACTGTTTTTGAGAGCTTTAATTTCCAAGTACTTGGGTGCATGCGTCTCCTACTTGGGCTGGTGGGGGGAGTCTGGCAGCTGCAGGGACCTGCTGCCCTCGCAGGCATGTGATTTTCCTACCCTGAGCTCGATTATTCCAAGACTCTGAGCTCCAGCTGTCCTGGCAGAGTCTGTGGCTTGATCCTGTCCTCGTGCATGTGGATGAATGAACTCTTTGTGTCCTGAGCACACAAGGTGACTTGCTCCAAGAAAATAACAGGACTATTTTCAAATGATGGGCAAGAACAGAGATAGAAATGCCTGGGGGTGAGATTCTTTAATTGTCTAAGTTATAACCATGTTAGAAAAATCTGCAGACTTTGCGTAAATTAAGGTTTAAATGTCAGTCAAGGTCAAAAAACACTGAAAAGCTGTGACTGGGTCTGTTTGATTGTTTTGGTTTGCTTTTTGTTTGGAGACAGAGTCTCACTGTAGTCCAGGCTGGCCTTAAACTTGTGGCATAGCCCAGGCTGACCTTGAACTCACACTCCTCTTGCCTCAGCCTCCCAAATGCTGGGATTACAGGTGCGTAGCACTATATCTGGCATTGCTGAGTCATTTTTGAATGAAGTCGGAGAATCAACCAAACAGGCTTCTAGGGGGAGCAAAAATGGTTTTCCTCTGAAGCTGACGCAGAACAATGAGTTCCCAGACGAAGCCTGAGACCCCCAGCCTGGCTGGGGCTCAGTGCCTTGCGTACTCGCAAGAGGCCCAGGACAGCTGCGAGCACCCAGCGTGGCTCAGACGGGCACCTTCAGTCACTTGTCAACTCCCGTGGATGGGGCGGGATGGGGCAGGGATGGTGATGTTCCGATCAACTTGAATTCAGAACTGGGAGATGAGGATGACATCTCTAATCACTGAGATAAAGGCTGGGTTACTTCGGGGTAAAAAATGCATGTTCTTCAGAAGGGACTGATACAATGCATAGGTGATGCATGGTATACAGACACCATTTTCCCCTCAAGAATTAAATCTTATTCATTGCTGCACCAAAGGTCCAATTCTTGGCACCTCTGCAAAGACAACGTGGGAAAGCTACTTCTTTTCGTGCATGCATAGGGAGTGGAAAATGCCACCTTAGGAACGGGTCATGGCTCAGAAAGCACCTACTTCCTAAGCCCAGAGTCCTCTCCCCACCCAGCAGCTTTCTAGTGCTTACAGAAACCTCGGGGGCCTCAGAGGGGGGATGGCACCTGCCAGTAGTGGGCACCTGGGCCAGGAATGGAAACCTGGCATACTGAGCTCCAGCTTTAGCCCTGCCACACCTGCGCTGCAGTCACTATACTTACGTGAGCCTGAATTTCGTGCTGAGAAAAGGTGGGGTACAGAGATAGATTGAACTATGTACTTCTTCAGTCAGACAAATATGCCTGCAGCTGTGTGGGTGAAGGCAGAAGTCAGGGAAGAAACACAGGACTTACCTCAGCCATCCTCTCTAAGACCAGCACACAGGTGATCGTTAAATAATATAAATGCAACACAAATAATGAGTATTTGTATACAGTGGTACCTCGGCTCATGAACTTAATTCTTTCCATGATTCTGGTTGCAAACTGACTTGGATGAGAACTGAATCAAATTCAATGGTTCATTTCAATGTTGACCTTATGGGGAAATTTGATTCCTTCCTTCCTCCCCTCCCTCCCCTCTTCCTTCCTTTCTTTCTGGTGTTGGGGGTTGAGCCCAGGGGCACTCTACCACTGAGCTACATCCCAGCTCTTTTTATTTTTTTATTTTGAGACAGGGTCTCGGTAACTTCCCAAGCTGACCTTGAATTTGTGATCCTCCTCCTGCCTCAGCCTTCAGAGTAGCGGAGATTACAGACATGTATTACCACATCCAGCTGCTCAGATTTTGATTCTAGCAGCTGTGATGTTTGGTGAAATTTTCTCCCTCCCTCCTACCTTCCCCCTCTCCCCTGCTCCTTCCTTTTTTGTCTGTGCTGGAGACCAAACCCAAGGCCTCACACAGGATAGCTAAGTGATAGCCAAGCGCTCTCCACTGAGCCACACCCATGCCAACCACTGAAGCTTGCTTTTATATCCTCCATCTTCCTTCCTAACTGGACAACAGGCCTCTTCTGTGGAAAGACAATATCTTTTACATGTGCCTTTTTAATCCCAGTGCTAAGCCTAGATCCTTGCGTGACAAGTGCTCAAAAACGTTGAATGGACTTACTATTAATCAATGGAAACTTTCCTTTGAGTCGTTATTAGTCCTTTATGGGATTAAGTTTTTGATCATCAGATGTCTCATTTCTAGTGGCCTGGTAGACCTGGATCACACCACTAAGTTTATACATGACCTAAGCTAAATCATTTACCTTGGGGGCCTCAGTCTTCTCATCTGTAAAAGGGTGTGATTGCATTAGATGATCTCTCAGGACCTTGATCTTTTTCTTTTCCTTTTTATTACACATTTTCAGTATATTCCCCTTTGGAGTTGGTACACATGCATAATATTTTAATTCTTGTTTTCATCCCCTTTCTCCCCCTCCCCCACATCTTTGATCACCTTCCCATGTGAGAAAGATCCATCTCCCTACTTCCCATTTTCTTTCATTTTGCTCTTTATTTATAATTTGGGTTTCTCATATAAGAAAAACCACAGGATGCCAAGTTTTAAAGTCCATGTTACCAGTAAACTACTTACGTGAAGTTCCTAGTCCCAAACTCTCACCAGCCCACTTCAGCTTCTCCGGGAAACTGCTGATGTCCCCTAAAGATGTTCCCTCCCTGCCACCTCCCTGGGGCAACTGCTGCCTCTTCCTTCCACAGCAGAAAACAGGCAGAAGCTGCAGGCTGATGAGCTGCAGAAAGAATATTATGAGGAACAAAGAAACGAATTTGAGAACTTCGTGGAGGAGCAAAAAGATGGTAAGAACTCTCCAGCCAGCGTCTTGGGGATGTGAAGCTTTGTGGGGAAGTTGCATTTGCCTCGCACCTTCTTCGCCTCTGATTTTAACTGGCAGAAGGAGAAAAGGTGAGACATACCTCCATTCACATCCATGGGAGACTTGCAAAGAAGGGAGAGAGTTACAAAAACAACTATTGTGGGCCTGAGAGGAGATGGAAGAGGATAGGATGCTTACGTTGCCAGTGGCTTGAGGACAGAGGTGACAAGGGAACTGTGTGGGTGGAAAACTCTCTTCCTCTTTCTTCCTGCTATGGGGCCAGTGTGGCAGCCTGTGGTCTCTGCCTAAGCGCTCTAACCCATGGCTTGGCTCCTGTAGGGTTGGGTGGGCTTCAAAATCCCTTACATTGATGTAATGGCCCTGGGTAGTGTTTCATCCTGGAAAATCAAGGCCTCCATTTACCTAATTGGCAGAGGCCAACCAAGAGAACTGAACTCAGAAAATACTGGTCCTCCTTACTCCGTCTTATACCCTGAGTCACCAAATACCCAAATACCCACATTTCGGTGCATCTTGGGCTCCAGCTCACCCAACAGTGTAAAGGTCCTTGAAAGTTTTTGCATGACCTTCTGGTGACCTTGCTCACTCCACCATTAATGTCCTTTTTGCTAAGCCTTGGCTTGTCAACAGAGTGGGAACATGGTGTGCCCATCTGACCAGGCACTGGTACACCTCCTTCCCACCTTCAGGGGTCCTGTGTGTCCATAGGCCATGCTGGTTGCACTGGGGCCTTCCTACAGGGAGGTGTGGATGGAGATGTGAGTGGAGAAAGAATCTAGCTTTGACCCACTCTCCTACTGAGTAGGGTCTGTCATTTCTTTCTAGTGCCCTAAAGAGTCACCCATGGCAAGTAGCCATAGGGATGCAGAATGGGGATCAGACCAATAGGCACATCGGGGGATGTGCGTGTGTTACTTCTCTTTTGATCCTTCTCCAAATTCAAGGTTGAGATGCTCCTGAGCAAAACCACCTGGTTCCTCCTGGTGCATATGAGCTCAGTCACGGAGCCCAGCTTGGATCACTTTTGTTGGAGAAAGCCAGCTCCTCTCCTGCCTTGTTGTCTCAGCTGACCTGGGAGGTAACATTCTCCGGTGAGATGACCTCATAAGGGCATTTCCCAGTGAAGAGCTATGCCCACTGATCTGCTGGTGGCACCTAGCTGAGCCCTGTAAAGAGATGTTGGGCTCTGACCCTGGAAAATCAACCTTTCTTGGAAACATAATGGGAAAAACTCAGGCTGTCATAACACAGAAGTAAATACTTCTATTACAGATTTGTTTTCCTTGGTGGACAGCTTGATGAGATCTCATTTTAAAAAAAAGTGGTCTCCAAAATTCCTACAGTGTGAGTTTTACTCAAAGTATTCACAATAGCTTTTGATTTTGTGCCTTTTAAATGTTTCAGGTCCAAGTCTTTATCATATGGGCAAAAAATATTCAAAACAGTGAAAAATATTCACTGTTTCCTCTTCCATAATGAGTGTCTTAGTTGCTTCTCTCTCATTGCTGTGACAAAATACGCAATACCCAAAGTGAAGGAGGAAAGGTTTATTTAGTTCACAGTTTGTGGAGGTTTCAGTTCATAATCTGCTGGCTCCAAGGCAGTGTGGCACATGGAAAAGGGGCAACAGTTCCTGGCAGCAGAAGATACCAAAAGCAACAAGAGCAAAGCAGAAGAGGAGGGGCAAACCTCTTTTCTTCCCTTATATTACATGCAGGCTACTGGTGTGGGTGTAATACTGACACCGCCAATCCCAGCACTGGACAATGAACTAACACAAACTCCAGATTCAGCTGCCTCTGAAAAGCCTACCCCGCATGACTACATGAAGCTTTGGCGGGACATCCAGATCCAAACCATAATGATGAGTCATTTAAGGGGTTAGGCACACACAGAATGACAGGCAGTTTAGAAGATACTAAGATCAGGGTCCTTGGGCCTCACCCACACTGATCAAGAACCCCTTGCCAGAGCAGGGCTGAGGTCTTTGGGAACTGTCCTTACATGGGCTGTTGGGACCAACCACTTGCCCTGCCAGACACTGCACTGCGCCATCTGAGCCTGAGGTAGCTCTTGTACTCTCGATTTTACAGTTTGAAAGACTTAGGCTTATACAGGACACATGCATACCTAAGGTGTCATACTCGTAGGGTGGCCCAGGACTGGAATCAGGTCAGTTTGCCAGGAAAGCTCCTATGCTTATATAATCAAGGATGATCACATGCACAGAGGTCTCAGAAATCTTCTCTGAGCCAGGAATTGGCCCACAGAGGTAGATGGAGTGAGGACAGTAAGACACAGGAGTCTCCTCAGGGCTCCATAAAGGAAAGAGCCGAGAGGCAAGCAGGTGTGGCCCTCCTGAGGATGAGGTGTTGAAACAGGTGGAACTCACCTCAGTGCCCCTTGCCCGTATCCCAGAATGTCTGTTGCAGTGGCTTGATCACCCAAAACCTCACCCTAGGGCCATGCTCAAAACATCCATCTTCTGAGCCCTTCTAAGCCCCCACCAGCCTCGTTCAGTCAGGACCCCATCTTAGGTAGCTGTCTTTTTTGACAAAGCCACCTAATCTGAGAATGGTTAGTGGTAGTTCGATGCTTGACCTCTCCCAAGTGACTTGCTTCATTAAAAGGATTACCTGTCAGCTTCTATTGCCAGATCACATCTCAAAGAGAAGTGGGTCCGCTGAGCTTTGGAAATGTCCAAGGGGTCAGTCAAGGCTCCAGCCAGAGGTGGGCTTGGAGCTCTGGGCCATATCTGGGGAGCCAAATACACTAAGAGATTTTCAGAACCTGGGGAGTTTTCACCCCAGGCTCTGGGAAGGAAACACTGGCAGCAGTGATGGAGGTTCCAGATGGGGGCCCACCAGGCCCTTCTTCTGCACCACATGTCTGCTCCCACAGGGCCAAGCGCTATGGGGACGTTGCCAATGGGCCATCCTGTTAGTCCAAGGTCACGAGGATGCAGGTTCACTAGCACTAAAATTAGGTTCACAGGCTTAACGGTGAAATTCACATTTGGGAAAGGAAGGTAAGGAAGATATTTTAGGTTTTTAATCCTCAACATCAGCTTCTGCTAGGACTTCTCATCCTTCCTCCCAACAATTCTCATGAGTATTTTTCTTTTTTAACCAATCTTATATAAAAATAAAGAAATTAAAGTATATATACCGTATATATATAATTCACCATTCTAACCACTTTTAAATTCACAAGTCAGTGGCATTTAGTATATTTCCAACATTGTGAAACTATCACCACTATTTCCAAAACCCTTTTCCAAGGAGAAACTCTGTACCCATTAAGCAATAAATTTCATTCCTGCCTCCAGCCCTGGTAACCTCATATTTTTTTATGTTCATGAATTTGCCCATGCTAGATATTTCATATACATAGAATATACAATATTTGTCTTGTGTCTGGATTTTTCCCCTTAGCACATTGTTTTCAAGGCATATAAACCTTGCAAATGTAAACCAGAACTTTACGACTTTTTATGGCTGAGTGATGCTCTATTATATAGTCCCATCCTTTTATATTTACATGTGAAACACGTTTCGTTTATCCATTCCTCTGTGGATGTCACTTTGGTTGTTTCCACCTTTTGGCTCCTGAGAGGGCCTGTGAGGGGACTCCCTGAGTCCCTGCTTTCAGTGCCTTTTGGTATATTCCTTGGAAACAAATTGCTGGGTAATATGGTCACCGTATACTCAACTTTTGGAGGAGTCTCACAAATGCTTCTCAAATATCGGAGGCCTGTGACATCTGCTCATGTTTTCTGGCTCCTTCTGAGACTCACCGGCACACGGGGGAGGGGGGCTCTGTGCTGTCAGAGCCGGGTGCCCCCCAGGGTCACAGTCCTTTCTGTGCTCACAGTGACTTGCTTTTCCTCCCCAGAGCAGGAAGAGAGGAGCCGGGAGGCCGTGGAGCAGTGGCGACAGTGGCACTACGACGGGCTGTTCCCTTCCTATCTGTACAACCGCCACCACATCTGACCCCCTCCTGAGGCCACCCGAGGGACGGAGTGTGAAGCAACCCCAGCCACCCCGGGGCCACTGCATCCCTTTGCGGGCCCAGCATAGGGTCTGTCACACTGCATGGCCCTGGTTAATCCACACCTTTTATTCCCACGGCTTTCCAGGCCTGGCTTCAGCTTCCGTATCAATGGTTTCCTGAGGCGAGCAGCTGCCTGTGGCTCGTCCCAAAGCAAAGCCACAGTGCTGCTCCCCGGCTTGGCCCCCATCCTTGGTCCTCGATCCTGACAGGACAGGCACAAGAATCACTGTAGGGAGAAATGATTTCTTGTTTGCTTGGTGCTTATAAATAAAGATGCTGAACCAGTCATGTGTATCTTTTCAAAGCTTCCATGGCGCAGGTCTGATTGTCTCCCGAGGGACAAAGTTCATTTGGAGGACTTGTGTGTTTGAAAACTTGTCCTTGAGCAGCCCAGCTCACTCTTCTCAGTGTGTTTCCATAGTCAGCCAGTGAAGGAAAAAACTCGCTAATTCAACTTGTTGTGGTAAGGGGCTGGGGATTTAGCTCAGTGGCACAGTGCCTGCCTGGCAAGCGCAAGGTCGTGAGTTCCATCCCCAGTACTGGAAAACAAACAAACAAACAAAAAAAAACAACAAAAACCTGTTGTGGTAGAACATTCCAGAGGAGAACTGAACTCCAGCACTTCCTGACTTGCATCTCTAACGAACCCTCCCTCCTTCCTTCCATTCCTTCCTTCTTTCCTCCTTCTCTCCCTCTCTCTGTCTCTGTCTCTGTCTCTCTAGCAATGCTGGGAATCAAACCCAGGGCCTGTGCATTCTAGGCAAGCAAGCACTCTACCACTGAGCTATACCCCAGCCCTTTTTATTCTTTGATTTTGAGATAGGGTCTTGTTAAGTTACCCAGGCTGGGCTCCTATATACAGTCCTCCTGTTGCAGCCTCCCAGTCACAGGTGTGTGCCATGACGCCCAGCTTCTGGAGTTCTAGAGGTCAACCCTGATTTCCTGGGGCTGCCATAACAAAGTACCACAAACAGGATGGCTTTAAAATCCCAGTTATTCAGGAGGCTGAGGCAGGAGGATCATGAGTTTGAGGCCAGCCAGGGTAACTTAATGAGAGCTGCCTCAAAACAAAAAATGGAAAGAACTGAGACTGTAACAGACACATATAACAGACCCATGGCTTCCTCATGCCTGGATCTCTGGCTGGCTCCTCCAGCCTGCTTTTGAGCTTGGGCCTTTAGGGCAAAATAGGGCAACGTTGATTAGGGGTTGCTTTGAGGTAAGCTACCTCGATGGTGATAAAATACCCCACAGGGATGGGGTGATTAATTAGGTCAGGACACTCTGTAGTAAGTGCATGCATCTTTAAGTCATTTTTAAAAAGCTGATAAATCCTTTAAAAGCACTGTAGTGATTAAACATATCCCAAATCACCCATACATAACCATCAGTACTGTCATTTTCTCCCACAAGCTCCAAGCAAGAGTTGTTTAGTTTTAAATTAGAATGTGCTAGCAGTAGAAGAAACTGGCATTGAATAAAGTTTACAGACTTCATTACTGCTATTATTTTCCTATCAGGTGAGAGGGTTACTTGGGAGAAATATTCCAATGTTTTAAAGCATAAATCTTGACAGAAAGAAGTTGCATAGATGGTACTGGGTCACCCGCATCTCCAAGCCAACTGGAGAAAGCCACTAGTTTGAGCAGATGGAAGAGGGCTCTGACATCACTGGACAGGAGGCTTGCAAAGATCCTGTTACTTCCTGTCCCTCTCCTAAAGTGACAGACCAGGAAGACTTAGAAAATTGGTGAGACCCACCCACTGGCTCAAGACTATTTACAATCTGTTTTCTGGAGCTGGGGCTCTACACAGGGCTTAATCACACCCAGGTTAGAAAACCTAGGGGAATACACAATTGTCCTGGTTAGGGGATGGAATCCCAGCCTAGCAGCGTGGCACTGAACCCAGGCAGCGTGCGAGCTCAGCCATGGCGGGCACAGATACCCAATCGGGTTGGCCAGCAGTGGGGCTGGTGACATAAATGAGGTTGGACTTTCATCACAGGCAGGAATCTGCCCTCTGGCTGCCCAAAAGCCAGATGCCAAGATAGGCCTTGATGACCTGACCCTTCAGGCTGCCAACTGAGGCTAACAAGGTGTTTTAAAAATGTACTTGTCACTTGCAATCTGAGAGGGATTGGTTCCAGTATCCTCATGGGTACCAAAATCTGGGCTCAAACTCTTGGTCCTCCTGCCTCAGCCTCCCATTTTGTTGTGATTACAGGTGTACGCGCCCACACTCGCCCTTCTGTAGTCCTGAAATCATCTCTAGGGTACTTATGACAGCTAATACACATAAACGCTATGTAAATAGGCACACTTTTATGTTAGGAAAAAATGACCAAAAAATGTATGTATTTAGTACAGACACAGTTTACGTCCCAAATATTTTTGATCTGCAGTTGGTTGGCTCCGTGGACACAAGACACGCGTACACAGAAGGCCAAGTGTACTTTTATTCCATGCCCAATTGTGGAATAGGAAAGTGCGAAGCCTTGCTCACCTTCTCCAGCTGAGAGGCAGAGACACAATCGAGTTCCTATCAGGATGAATGACGCCTGCCATATCCTCAGGGAAGCCAGTTCTTCCCCAAATGCTACTGAACAGGAGGGTGGCAGCGCTGGATTCCGACTCAGGGCCACACCACAGGCCCCCTGTCTGCCAAGTCTGTGGCCATACAGATGCTGGAGGCCAAGAATGGTTTGCAAGACTGTCTGTCTAGTTTTAAAAAGGACAAAAGTAAACCAAACAGCCTGTCCTCACCCTCTCTACTGCCAGGCTTGACAGGTTGGCTCTAGATAAGGAATCCGGGCAGAGAGGAGCTAAGCAAGAATTCCATTACCTTGCTCACCCCGTCCTTCACAAGGGCTCCATTATACTCCAGAGCTTTCAAGTTCTGCCCAGAATTCCTCCCCAGAAGGCCAAGCGCAGTCATTTCCTAGGCCAGGAGGGGGCCAAAGGCAACATGACAGGAATCTGAGCAGCCGCATTTAACAGGAAATTAATAAAAGCAATTGGTATCTCTGGAGACAGTCTCTGCCAAAATCGTGGCCTGTGGGACATTCTTTTGTTTACTCTTCTCTCATTATTACATCCTTGTTCTTTTTTTAAAGAATATTTTATATTTTCAAAATAGGAATAGTTTAATTAGAAGAATAAAGTCAATGGGATTATCTACCAGGTTCTAAAAGTACCCATGAATTAAACCATGCCCCCCACTTAAAAACAAGACAAAAGCTTCTACCACATTGCTAGTAAACTTTCTTATAGTAAAGAATAAAGCCAAACTATTTGAAGTACAAAACTTTTTGAAGTACAAAAACCTGAAACTCTGACCATGAAAATAATGTATTGTTTAGACATCTGATTTATTCAAGCATTAGGCCTAGTGAACACAGCTCTAGGGTAGGAAAAAAAATTCCATCCAGCACCTGCATCATTTCAAATTTCCTGGGGCCAGTTTATGCATTCACCAGTTTTGTATACATTGATTTTTTATTTTCATAAACAATGTTTTGGAGAGCTAGGGGTGTAGCTCAGTGGTACATCATGTACTACCCTTAAACATCCATGTGTGCTTGATGTGGATTGACTTTTTAATAAAAGGACATGAGAAACTTTGTGTATACCCAAGCTGGCAAGTATCATTAGTGATATGACTTTCAGAAACATTCTTAGGCACAATAGCACTGCCTGCAGTGATAGCCTTCGATAGTCGAAGAAAAGACTACCATTAAATATAACCTCACAAGTAAGAAAAAATATATGCATTTTTGCCCATGGATTAGCTTTACATATTGGAAAAAATGTCAAAATGAGATTTTCCTTCTATGAGATTAAAAATTACCTTTAACTGGCATCAATTTTAATGGATACCTATATATTAAAAATCAGACAAAAATCAAATCACTTTAGTCTAAATGCAATTTAGGAAAGAAATATAGGACTAGTCACATGGAAAAATAGCTTCACTTCTTTGGCAGCCAATTGAATATTCTCAGTCAAATTTTATTTTTAGAAAAGCAGCAGATCAATATTACAGTTCAAGAATCTAATCTAAGTATGCACTTGACAATGGACGTCAGAGTATGGAGTGGAGTTTTCAAAAAAACCATCAAATACACTATCTCCAAATGCTGAAAAAACCCTCCTTGAGGGGCTCCAAGGTAAGTGGTTGAAAACACATTTGTCAGAGTAAATTTGTCATTAATTTATATTTACCAGTTTTGTCTATGTTGATGTTTTATTTCAATAAACAATGTTTCAGGGAGCTAGGGGTGTAGCTCGGTGATACAGCATGTGCTTGGCATGCCCAAGACCCTGGGCTTGGCACACACAATTTTATGTCTGTGCCAAGATAAAATTTACTTATCATATGCTTTTTTTACTTAGATTTTTTTGTAGGAGGTGGTAATCTTTGTGAGTCTTGAAATGATTTTTATATTTTTTGCAAACTTTCATCCTTTCTTCATTTGTCTAGGTTATTTCTTTTTGTTGTCATTGTTGAACTGGGGATTGAACCTAAGGGTCTCTGCACTGAACTACATGCCCAAGCTATTTTTTCTTTTATTGCTTCTTGACCTTCTAAGATCAAGTATTTTGAGGGTTCTTGCTAAGTCATTAAGTTGCCCAGACAGGACTCAAACTTGTGACCCTCTGTCTCAGCTTATAAGAGTGCTGGGATTACAGTATAAACTACCACTCTTGGCTAGTATTCTAATTTCATAATGTAATAATACTGTGAGTGTATATGTGTGTGTGTGTGTGTGTGTGTGTGTGTGAAGTGCTGGGGGTCAAACCCAGGGCCTCATGCATATTTGCAAGTGCTCTCCCATTGAGTGACACTCCCAAGTCCCTACATTTTAATATACTTATTTGCTTATTGGGATGATTTCCCACTTGCCTTGATTCACAATACTTCTTCCTCTGGATGGAGCCTCTTTCTCTAAGCGTGTCTCTTCCTTCTTTGCAAGAGAGAGGTATGTTCTCTCAAGGTTTATCAGCACTGAAAGCAAACACTTTTTTTGTTTTTGAACTAGATCTGAATTTTTTAAAAGAATTTTTGTCTGCTATCCACATTAACTTCTTTTAAAATTAAAAGTAGTTTGAGTAGGTAATCCACACATGGTTTACAATTTACAAGGAACAGAAAGGAACCCAGTAGACAGCTGTGGCAGTGCACACCTGTAATCCCAGTACTTGGGAGGCAGAGAATCACCATGAGTTCAAGGCCCACTTGGGCTACATATTGAGTTCAAGGTCACTGTGAACCACAAACTACATAACAAGACTCTGTCTCAAAACATCAAAAAAGAAAAAAAAGGGAACATAGTAGAAACTTAAACTTAGCCCCTCCTCTCATCTCCCAAAGGAAACCATTATTCTCATTGTCTTGAGTATCCTTCAAGTGATCTGTTCACATCTACAGAACTGTTTTACCCACTTTTACTTTTCAATCAAGCCAGTGTTCTACCATATTTAATTAGTTTTTTAAAAAGCTTTCTACATTAGTCAGTTTTCATGTCACCGGGCCAAAAGACCCTAGAATGTAAAGGAGAGGTTTATTTTGGCTTATGGGGTTCAGTCCATGGTTTGTGACCTCCAAGATAATAATGCACATGGGGAAAGGGCATGGCAGAGGAAAAATGCTCAGCCCTTGGGAGCCAGGAAGCAGAGAGAGAAGGGAAGAACCAGGACAACAACACATCCTCCCAGGTCACATCGCAGGGGCCCACCTCCAGCCAGGCCCCACCTAACAGCATATTCAGCTATTGAACTCCTCAGTCAACAGATTCACTGATGAGCACAGCACCCTAGGATCCAATCTCCTTCCACATACATGAGATGGGGGGGGCACATTTTAGATCTAAAGCATAACACTTAAAGAAAAAAGTTCCCTACAAAAATGACAATTTTTGGTAGGTCTAAGAAGAATTCTGGTTTAATATGAAAACCAAGGTGAACAGTATTTGTCTAGAAAACTCATTAATTTAGACCCTCTAGTAATATTTTTAGATAATCAACATATTAGTGATCTCTAAACGTAAAACATTCCCAAACAAAAAATGATAATCTCATTACGATGAGGTAGGACAAGAGCACTAGCTTGTGACTTTATTAGCTCAAGTTGTTTATCATGCATTCAGCAAAAAGTATTTTATATTTTGTAAACTGATTTATACAGCAAGCTCCCCAGTTACACTAGCAGATTGATAGGTATCCTGACATACTTAAGTCACTAAGCCCAACTTTTCTTGTACCCTTACCAGATGAGGAAGAGTACCCCCTAGAGTTTAGCTTTTATCTCCCAAAAGCCCGTGTTTTATAGGCTTGGTCCCCACCCCAGCTTGGCATTATTGGGAGGTTATGGTAAGAGGCAGGGCTGCTAGCACAGTAGTACATGCCTGTAATTCAGCACTCTGGGAGGCAGAGGAAGGAGGGTCCCAGCTCAAGCCCAGCCTGGGAAAATTGGCAAGACCCTATCTCAAAATAAAAAATTGGTGGGGGTGTGGCACAGTGTTAAAGCGCTGGGTTCTATCATTAGTAACTTAAAAAAAAAAAAAAGGTAGGACCTAGCAGGTCTTCAAGATATTTGAAGTATGCCCTTGAAGTAAAATAGCAAAACCCTGCAAAAAGCTTCCAGGTCATGAGGTGAAAGGTTTTTACCAACAACATGCTCCCCACCATGAACTCCCTGCCCTTCCACAGACCCAGAAGCAAAGAGGTCGTCTCATCACGGACTGGAATCACTAAAACTCAGCCAAAATAAACCTTTCTTCTCTATAGATTGATTTCCTCAGGAGTTTGCTATAGTAATAGAAAACTAACATTGTGCCTGAATAATGCACTATTAGATATTATCACCATTTTTGTGTGATTAATTATGCAAAAATAAAGTCAGCATCATAAACCTGGAGTTTATGAAGCCCAGGACTTGAGCTGTCTTCTCTCTCTCAAGGTCGAGCCCACTAGTCCTGATAACATCACTCTAGGGAATGTGCAAGATGACAAAACCATGTTAATATTTATAGACCTGCTTGGCCAGCCTCACTCAGAACACTTAACAGAACAAGCAAGCCCTTAAATCCATCATAAAGAACTCTTACAACTCAACCCAATAACAAACATAAATAAATGGATGAGCAAGCAGCACCAAAAGATGTATAAATGAATAGTCAATAGCATAGCTTATGAAAAGATGCTCAGTAGCATTGGTCATCAGAAAAATGCAGGTTAAAACCAAATGAGATACCACTGTGAACCATCAGAATGGCTAAAATGAAGACTGGCAAACTGAGGTACTGGGGGTCTCTGGAGCAAATGGTCTCAGACATTCACTAGTGTGAAATGGTACAACCACTTTGGAAAGTGTCTTGGCAGTTTCTTATAAAGCTAACATATACTTACCACACAGCCCAGAATCCCCACTGCTAGATATTTACCGAAGAGACACAGAAACCCTTCCACCTGAATACATGCAGCAGTGTTAGGAATAACAGCCCCAAATTGGAAACAGCCCAACCCATGTCCGTCAACTGGTGAATGAACCAATTATGTGGCACATCCATACAGTGAAACGCTCAACTACTGCATGCAACAACATGGATGAGATTTTAAAATACTATGCCAAATGAGAGAAGCCAAAAACAAGTTCAAGCCAAACAGAAGTTCAACACCAGCCTGGACAACTTAGCAGGACCCTGTGTCATTAGACATTCTTTAAACTGCTGCAGATATCAAACTACTACCAACTCTGCACGAAGCCAGTTCAAGCATATCAGCTTTGCTATATTATCAGCCAAATTTTAGCACCCTCCCACTTTTACACTCATACTGGGGATTGAACCCAGGCTCTTTGCATGGAGCTACATTTTCAACCCAAGCTAGCTCAAATGAGATCTTCCTGCCTTCATCTTGTAGAGTGCTGGGATCCCAGGTACGTGCTACCACACCCATCCTCCTGGAGGCTTTAATCCTCCTTATTTGCTCTGGGGAACACTCCACACAAGTCATTCAGAAGTTCCTTCTTTACTATTCTGGACACTGCTATCTAAAACACTTGACTTCCTTTTGTTGTCTGGTAAAGGAAAATATATCTTATCTTAATAAACCTCAAGAGAAGGGTGATTTTCTTTTTAAAAAATGTTATTTTCTCCAAATGAGAAAGGCATAGCAAAAAATAAAAGCTAAAATAAAAAAACAAACAAACAAACAAACAAAAAAGAAACTATAATGAAGACTTAAGAGCCTGTTCTGCATGCAGGACATGGCCAGGCTTTGCAACTCAGCTCACCGTTGTGATGGCCTGAGGTGACACATGTTGGCAGTGACAGGTTAAGAAATAAACAATTGTTAAATGAAAGCATTTATTTTGATAAAAAGGATTAAAAGACTGATCTCACTGATGCACGTTATACCACTTAGACATATAAACCATACCAGTGAGAACAGACCACCAATGCTCTCCATTCAAACAAGACCCTGTTTTTCACATAGGAAGGTGACTGCTCCACTGGGCAATCTGCTAAATTTATATAGTGTGATCTATGTCACATGCACTGCTGTTTTAAGCTTATGAGACGAATGAGTCTACTCTAAATGAGCCATGAACAATACTGGGGTTTCAAATGCTTTTCAACTAATACTTATTTTCATCTTCTTTTTAAGGTAAATTAAAAGATAATAACAAAAAAAGCATTGTTATTAAGAAATAACCTTAGGGGAAATGAAAGGTCAGATGCAACACCTTCTGTCCATGTAGATAGAGCAAGAGCAGAGTTTTATGAAACCTTAAGGCTATGGATTTTATTTATAGCTCTTGAAAACCTAGATCAACTATCTGCCATAATGACCTCCTGTGTTATGTTCCTAACACAAAACTATCTTGGAAGAAAACTATTTCTAGCTAGAGTTTAAATTCCAGGATAGTAATCCTACAGATGTATCCAACCTTCAGGTGGTCCCAGCATTCTCACTTCAAATGATATCTGGAAAATCAAGTTGTCCAGGCAGGGCAATCTCCTATAAATTTTGTTTTCATTTCCATTGTGTTTGACCTTTAAAATTCTTGCTGTAAGAAAGTGTACCCCCAAACTCCATGCAATGCTGTCTTTGTAGTTTCTTTCCGTGTTTAAGGTCATGCTTTACAGCATTTCAAATTTTATACCTGTTTTAGTTAGAAGTGTCAAAGTTTCTTTATGTCACACTGAGATGAATTCATACGCACAAATGATGAGATTTTAGGATTTTACATTACAGAGTTCCAAAATATTGTAAGAGACTCCGCTTTCTCTCCATATAAAGGCAATGTGGTGTAAAGATTCGATCAATTTCAAAGAGCAAAACTGAAATAACAGTAGATCAGAGAGAAGAAAGATAGCTCTTAATATCAGTATATCAACACAATATTAAGGGCAAGGATCATAGTGGAAAAGTTATATTTGTAGAATTTCAGGGCTGAAAGATACATTTCAAGATCATTTGGTCTGATCTTCCTCAGTTTACACAAAACAGCACAAAGGTAGAAGCTGAGTGACTTAACTAGGGTGAGAGTTAAGCTCAATTAATTCTTTTGTCTCTGGTGTCCACAGAAACGTGGGATCTTTATTGTGGTCCAGGAGTGCACCCGCTATATCCGAGACCCGGCCTGGCCTTCACCTCTGATGTTTGGGCCAAACTTTGAATGCAGCAGTGCAGCCCTTCTGTAGTGACAGCAGGAAAGACCACGCTATCTTGATTTTCCAACACTGAAGCTGGTGTCAACCACAGTGGAGGAAGTAAAGAGAAGGAGCTCATGGGCTTAACAAGCACTTGTTTCGGAGGGTGGCGGTCAGGAACACAGGCACCCAGAGCCAATCCCTTGCTTTCTGTGTCACAAGGAGCAAAGGAGACTGTGGTACACCATCTGTCGTTAGGGTCATTTAAGGCTATTTAGAAATTTGCCGTGTTCTTCTCCTCTTGGTAACAGGGTTTCTCCTCCTATCTTTGGACCAGTCTTTTCCTAGGAAAAAAATGACAGTACCTTAATAAGAAACTGGTTTAATATTATTTGCCTGGTTCACTGAAATTAGTCACACATTAGCAGGTAAATGACACAGCGTTTAGTCTGGATCTTGAGTGCTCCTCTACATGCCTGTGTGTTAAAGGCTCGGGTCCCAACTTCTTGCACTGGGAGGAAGTGGAACCTTTAACAGGTCAGGCACAGCAGAAGGTCTTCAGGTCCCTGGGGGCCTGCTCTTTTAGGGGACCTTGGGGCCCAGGTCTCTTCCTCTTTCTCTTTTTTGTTCTCAGCCATAAGCTACATGTGCCTCTTCCATGTTTCCACCATAATGGGCACATCTGGCCAGAGGCCCCAAAGCAAAGGAGTCCAACTAAACCTTTCTTCTTTCTAAGTTATCTTAGGCATTTTATTACAATAACAGAAAGCAGCTTAACACATGTACCTTTAGCATTCCATCCCGTTCCCATTTGTAGAGGCCACAATTACTGAAAGAAAACAGAGAGATTTACTCAGCAGTGAAATACTGGCCCCCACACATAATAAAAACAGCTTACTGTACTTATGAGGAGGAATATCCCTATAAGCAAGGAGGTGCTGGGTATGGTGGTACAGACCTGTAATCCCAGCACTCTGGGATGCTGGGGCAGGAAGATCACAAGTTTGAGCCAGTCTGGGCAATTTAGCAAGACCTTGACTCAAAATTTAAAAAAAAATTTTAAGGTGCTAGGGATGTAGCTCAGTGTGAAGGCCCTGGGTTCATTTCTCTGTCTGGGGTAGGGAATGGGGGGCTTTTCAAGATGACCCTTGTATTATAGGTCATATCTGAGGTCACCTAATGCTAACATGTGCTCCAGTGACTTGAGAAATGGTTTTAGAGATTTCAGAGATGGAGCCGCACGTGGGGTGCCACAGGGCCACACACACTGGTAGTGATGAACGCAAACTTGGTCTTGATGGTGGTTGGGAAGAGACCATTCTACATCAAGAAATGACAAGAGCAGGCCAGAGAAAAGCATTGTTCTTGCAAAAACAAGGGCACTACCACCTGCAGGCTGGAAAGCATCTTGCTCTACCATTTATGAGTTGTGCTCACTGCTTAAGGAATAGAACTTTTCTGATTTTCTCAATGTTTTACATAAGCTGTTCTTATGTTGACATTTTTAGCCACCTATTCTGGAAAGAAACATCAATATACAAACACCTACTTTACAACTACAAAGTTATAAAGTTAAATGTCATCTATAATCATTTAAATTAAATAAAAATAAATACATTTGCAATAAATGAAAATACAAGGGACTGCTGGGCCTATAGCTCAGAGGTACAATGCTTGCCTAGCATGTACAGGGTCCTAGATTTAATCCCTATTATAATCAAACAAAAACCAATAGGTGGTTAAAGTTTTAAGTACTCAACATACATCTCCAAATAAAGAAAAAACCCAGTAAGAAAATCAGTAAGAAATATTAACATAAAATGACAAAAGAGAAAATTCCACAGGCTAGTAAGCATATGAAAAGATACTAAAATCACTGATAGTTACATATGTAAAAATTTAAACAGTACTGGGAAAACTGTATTTAAAAATTATATTTCTGTTGAACACAGCAGTGAATGCTTATAATCCCAGTGACGCAGGAGGACTGAAAATTTAAGGCTAGCCTGGGCAACTTAGCAGGACTCAAAAAATTTTTAAAAAGGGCTGGGGATGTAGCTCAGCCTTTCTTGGATTCAATCCTTAGTACCACAAAAACAAAACAACAACAAAAACCCCAAAACCAAAACCAATCCAAACTGTATTTGTACTCCTTGGCAAAAATGTTGGTGAGGACCCAGGGACTTGGAGACCCTTGTGTAGGGCTAATGAGAGACAGACTGTCCTGGCCACTCTGAAGAGCAGCCTGGGGCCATCTAATCCCGGGGCCATCCAAAGCACCTCCTGTTCGACACCTACCAGGGCATGAGGGCCAGGTGAGCAGCACCGGAAGTAGCTGGGTGCCCACAGATGACCCCTGACCGGTGCTGGTCAGGCAACAGAGCTGTCTGTCAGGACCAACACAGTGGCTGTGCAGAGCAGAGAGACTGCTGAGCAACAGTGAGTTAAGAAACACAAGTGGACACATTTGACACTGCTCTATTTACACAAATACAAACGTGCCCATGCCAAACAGCCTGCACTTTATAAGGAAACAAAAGGAAATATGAATCATAGGAGGATGGTGCTGAGGGACAGGAAGGGAGTGAAGAAGGGGAAAAAGGACATAACAACAGGATGAAGAGAGCACCAAGTGGACCTAAGGAATGCACTGTAGGAGACCTACTGCCTTCAACTTCCTCAAAATATCCTCCCTCGCTTCAAACATCCGTGGCCATCCTTCTTGCCACTTTGTGAAGCAGTGCTGGAAGTCCTCTTGTGTAGGGTCTTTATGAGATGTGATAAAAGATACAGAAAATGCTCTTGCCATGTGCCACCCAATGGAAAGGCAGGCTCATAGAAAGTGTGTCCTCATCCACTTTGTTCACTGGGTCTGGTACCATGCACCTTCTGGCTCTTCCCCCAAATCAAAATGACCATGAAAGTAAATATTTTGAAGTGATCCAAGACATCAAGGCAGCCACAATAGTAGAAAAGACACTTCAGAAAGAGGATTTCCAGAACTGCCTTAGACATGGCAAGAATGATGGGACAAGTGTGTTTGAAGCAAAGGGAGGTATTTTGAGGGAGATGAATGGCAGTATGTCTTTTACTGTAAAAAACAAAGAAACTAACAAACAATTTTTTAATTACATGACATATATTCACCAGCCCACCCTGCACATTTTTTTCATGTCTTTATTTAATAAACACTTTTAAGGACCTACTATGGGCCAGGAACCAACAGCAGCCAAAGTGCTGGGATTCAGCAAAGGGGCAAACAGGGAGGAACATCACACAGAACACCACCAGGGTTAACCACGCCCGGGATGGGGAACCCTCAGCACTTCTCATACCTGCAGTGCTTTTTGGGGAGCCGGTCAAGAGAGACGCTCCTGTTTCCACAGGGACATTTGAAGAACCTCTTTAGCCCATCGTGCCAGTGGTAGTCATGCTGCTCGCTGACACAGGTCTCCAAAGGCTTGAAGTGGGTGTAGGCACACTGCACAGAGCAAGGCAAACCACACAGCCAGTGAGGGGCTTTGAAGGACAGACTCCAGGACAACCTGCTCTCCATGCCTGCCCAGGTCACTGCAGGGCACAGGCCACCTTATCTCCTAGCTGCTGGACTGCAGTGACGTTTTTGCTCTTTTCTCACACTGAGACTGTTTCTTCTAATGTGTGCCCCCCTCTCTGGCCAGGCATGAAACACAGTGACATCGTGCAACACAAAGATGATCGTAAAGGCCAAAGAAGAGTACTGTGAACCTCTTGGCAGCTTTAGTTGGGCTCGTTAGAGAATACTGTCTATTAATCACAGGCTTGGTGTCTCAGAGGGAGTCTGACCAGTAGCTCTCTGATTTCTTACTACCAGGTCCTGTAAAGGATTTATGCTTATTATTGTTACTATTTCATTAGCAATAAAACCAAGACAGAGACACAATATAATTCGCTTTTAATTCTGATCTTCAAAAAGACCGGAGAGAATGACAAATGGTAGAAGACTTAGGTGCCAGGTGGAATACCTGTAACTTCTGGTAATCAGATAAATTACTGGCTCAGAAAATCAAGTAATTTCTGGCTCAGATAAATTACTCTGGACAACTTCAGGAGACAGCACAGTGGCATATTGGCCACAGTAGGCAGAATAATGGTCCTCTGATGTAAAATGTATCCTATTTCCTGAAACCTGGGACTGTTGTGCTCTGTGGCAAGGAGGAATTAGGTTGGCTGGTGGAATTAAGGTAGCTGATTCAGTGACTTTTTTTTTTTTTTGAGACAGGATCTTGCCATGTAGTTCAAGCTGAACTTAAGTCCAGGCTGACCTCAAGCTCACAGCAATCCTCCTGCTTCAGCCTCCCAGTGCTGGGATTACAGGTGTGCACCACCACACCTGGCTTGATTCAGTGATTGTTAAAAACATTTTTAAAAATTTTTATTAGCATATGTTTGCAGTATGTAATGATTACATTCATTGTGGGGAGTTGGTATAACTTAGGGATGTTAAGACATGGAAATGATCTCAGCTTATTGGGCTTATCTGGGTGGGCCCCTAAAAGCATCATGCTTCAAGGTTGAAGGAAGCAGGAGAGGAAACTGAGGTGATGTATTGAGAGTTCGACCTGCTGTTGCTGGTTTTAAAGAGAAGAGAGCTGTGCATGAGGATGGTTCCAGAGGCAGACAGAAGCTAGGAAACATTCATCCCAGAGTCTCCAGAAAGAATGTCGTCTTGTTAGCCCCCTGACTTTAGCCTAGTGAGACCCACACTTGCATGGAACATAACATAAATTTGTGTGCTTCAGGCAGCTAGGTTTGTGGTAATGTTACAGCTACGGGAAACTAACACACCAACCATGTCCTTCAGTGCACAGTAAAAGCTGTCTCTGGAAGGAAAATGTGAATAGTGCATTGTGCTTCAAATTATGTTTTAATTAATCCTCTTTGCTTGTCTTCCCTACTATAAACTTGGTCAAGAAATCCTCAGATTTTGATGGCAGCTCATTCAGGCCTGACCCCAATATAAGAAAAACCAAGGTTTTCCAAAAAATGGAGAAAAGTATACTCAATAGGCCAAGTCTCGTCCTCTTATGCATTTATAGGCTGTGAAGTGAAGCAGCTGTGTCCAGTAAGAACTGTTTTTCCCTCCATTTAAAAATTAATCTTAGAGAATAGGAGACTTGGAATTTTGCAACAGATTTGGAGTGAGAGTTCTACAAATACAGACAATAATACAATTCACACTCTGACTTGAGATTCAGTTTAGTAGGTTAAGGGCGTGAGCAGCATGGCTCCTCACAGCACAGGATGCAAACTCAGGAGCGCACTTGGGCTCAGGGACCATGAATGCTGATCTGAGGCGTCAGAACTTGAGAAAGACATCCAGTAGCTAGAGGGCAAAGGAGGTTAGAAGAACTGCAGAGCTGGGGCTGCTGTCAGAGAACCTCCCCTACCAATGCTCTACCCACAGAGCTCCAAGGTGGAGTCAGGCAGAGCCTGATCCCTGCTTATTTGAGGCTGTTTGTTTCCCAACCTAATAAATGACTTAGATATAAACCCCTCACTTCACAGATTATTATAGTTTGGATCAAAAATATGCCCAGAGGGTGTGTCAAAGGCTCAGTTGTTGATGGGTTTTGGGGAAGGGACTGAATCAACAGGGTTCTAATGTTATCAAGTGGATGAATTCACTTATGAGATCATAATTTGCTGGCATTATTGAGGGGTGATGTAAACAGGAGCTGGGGCCTAGTTGAAGGGACTGGTCATGGGGTGTGACCTTGGGGACTATATCTCATCCTCACCGCTTCCTCTCTCTTTCTTCCCTCTCTGCTTCTTCGTTGCCAAGAGGTGAGCAGCTTTCCTTTGCCACCCCGCCGCCATGTATCTGCCTGCCACGGGCTTAGAGGCAATGGGGCCAACTGACTACAAACGGAAACCTCTGAAACTGTGAGCCAAAATAAGCCTTTCCTTCCTGATGTTGTGTGTCTCAGGTATTTGGTCACAGCAGCAGAAGGCTGACGGACACAGTCCTACCAAGTTTGCGCCCGTCTCGCACTCACCGTCTTACAGGTCACCACTCGACATTTCACTTCTCTGATGTTTCTCATCTTTTCTTCCATTTGTTCTTTTTTTACCAGTGGCTCAAAATAGCGTTCTTGGAGCTCAGCCTCAGCCTGAATGACGAAACACACACGAATACTCGTACCAAATGCAGGACAGCTTTGCCAGCTCAGCAAGAGCAATTTAATAATTACTCCAATAATTCAGTTCATTGATAACCGAAACAGAACTGAAGTGACAAGCTAAAAGTTAGAGGATCCTAGAGAGCACCTCAATAAACTGCAAACCGAAGGTGATAATAAGTAGAAAAGAATCCTTAAAATATGTGTGGGGGGGGGACATGAAAGCACGTGGTGATTTTTAAAACACTAAATACAAATAAAGCCACTAACATTACTAGTAAGTTTTCTGCTGTGCTAGAGATTGAACCCAGGGTCTCACAGCTCCTAGGCAAGTGCTCCACTGAGCCACATCTCCAGATCTTTTTTCTTTTCTTTTAAAACGGTGCTTCGCTAGGTGGCCCAGGCTGATCTCAAACTCACAATCTTTGTATCTCGGCCACCTGGGTAACTGGGATCACAGATGTGCACCATCACACCTGGCACTGCTAACATTATTAACAGTATCAAATGGTCCAACATGCACCAAAAGGCATTTTCTTGTACTGTCCCCAATACAGGCTCCCACAGGGAAGGTTGGCAAGGTCCCCAGGGACAATGGCCCACCTGTTAGGTTCTGGTCTCCAGATGGAGCACGTGCAGCAGAACTTCGGGGGGTTTTGAACAATAGGGAATAAGAATGAGTGCAGCAGAATGTGAGTGCAGCTCTGGATTAGTGCAGCCACACAAACAAGACGGCCACAAGAGGAAGAAGCTCAGTGCCATAGACTTCAGGGTTGGATCTCACCTCTCTCCTGACTGAGCTTTAACTCAAGTAGAAAGCAGATGTTCAACCCCCAGTACACAAAGAAAAAAACCAAAACCAAATCTGTCTTGTTACTTCTTAATCGAAAGAGGAGCAGATCACTAGGATTAGTGGGAACACCGCTAGTCCCCACGGGACATTCGGCAAAGATGTGAAGCTCTGTTTTATTAGCCTGATGACTGCTCCCTGCACCACCAGCAGGGATGAGGGATGCCACACTTTCACAATGCACACAACGGTTCCCTACATGATGAAGAACTGTGCACACCTTCTGTGTGCTCCATGGGATGCCGCCTGAGTGAGCACCCTAGAACCTAACCGCTTTCAGCACAACACTGCAAACTTCATGCATGGTTTTAATATACACTGAACGTTCCGAGAGTTCAGTGAGGCAATTCCGGTGTACACTGAGGGACAACGGCACCTTGATTTCCCAGGACAGCCCACTGCTTCTCAAAAACCACACGACCAAAGAAATGGGGAAAGGGTCCCTCAGTTTCCACCATGAGTCCTCATTTCTACTCTTATAAGTCTAAGCCTCCAGTAATTTCATTAGTTCTTCTAGGATAGCTTGTGCCCAAGCATTTACACAATGAAATACATATTTTTATCTACATGCTTTTCCTTTTTCAATACTTACATCAGTCAGTATATTACACTGATTATTTTTAGATTACTAGGACAGGTAATTTACACTATCTATGAGTTTTATTGCAAGATAATGAGGAAGCAACCCAAAGCATTTATTATTGCCGGGTGTAGTGGCGCGTGTCTACTGTAATCCCAGCATTCAAGAAGCTGAGATGGGAAGATCGCTATGAGTTCAAGGTCAGGCTGAACTACATAGCAAGACTGTCTCAAAAAACACAAAACAAAACAAAACAAAAAGCATTTGTTATTTAAAAGGGGTATAAAGAGTGATGGGGTTAACTACTAATTTAGAGCATTTGAAATACCAATATAAAAATATTTAAGTGGGAAGAAAGTCCCCTCCCATATGGCAGGGCAGCAAACAGTATTTAGCCCTTTATACTAAGTTCAAAACCACAACTACATGCAAACATTTTTCTAATAATGAAGTCCATTTAAATAATAACAATCAATTGCTATTCTTCAGTTCAAGGGCAAAGGCAAAGATAAAATCTATTAGAACTGTTCCTGCTATTCAGAGCAAGCCCAAACAAACTGCAGCACAGCTACTTCCTGGCTCAGGCAAATAAACAGATTTAGTCCTGCAGCAAAGCACCTCAGGTTTAAGCCACTGACACCTCCTGCCCTTGAGGGTTCTTACCTCTTTCAGGATGCCTGTGTGCTTTGATTTGGCTTTTAGAATTTTCTGAAATTCTTCCGATTCCAGGTAGGCAAGCTGCTCCCTCCGTTTTTTCTTAGCAGGCTCTAATTCATCCTCAGCTACAGCAGAGAAGAACAGCATCACAGAGGAGTCGGAGGAAGGCAGCGTGCCTTTCCCACTCAGCCTCCTCTGGCCCTGCATTTCTCTGCCTAGCGGCCCTTTCAGCCCTGAGGGACCCTGAGTTGGCACGAGCAGGGGGGTTCTCCAGAAGTGAGCTGAGAGCTGAGCCTGCAATGTGCGTGACTGGCAGATCTGACCACTGGGTACAGTCTCTTTTTCACTTTTAACAGAGGGAGAAGATGATAACAGATGCCAGAAGTAAAACTCTTACTTACAAACCAATTTTAAAATGACATCAGAGTTTTAAAAATTAAAAGCCATTTAAAAAGGGAATTCTATCTCTTTCAAAGTAAAATCTCTGCACCAACATATATATGCAATGATCCAAGGGAAAACCTTTTCCCAGCTATTCTAATTGTGCATAATTTCATTTCAATTTAATGGGATTAAAAAACACACAATCAGTTCCAGTTGCAGAAATTCTACTTAGGCAGGGTGTGGTGGTGCAGGCCTGTAATCCCAGCATTCAGGAGGCTGAGTCAGTTGTCATGTGTTGGAGGCCAGCCTGGGCTACATAGAGAGATCAAAGCCAACCTGAACTACATAGTGAAACTGTCTCAAAAAACAGAAAATCCTACTTACACATTCTACACATGTGAGAGAAAACACATGAAAGAATAGCCTGACATCAGGTTTCTGGTTACAGTTACATTTCCCTTATCAATGCGTTCTCTTGCCTACTGCAGTACCTTCAGGAGAAACCATGTTGTTCTTTTCTACCCGTTCTTTTACTTCTTGTACATCCTGGGGGTTCTTCTGCATCCTTGTAATATTGTTTGGATTTGTTTTTGTGAGAATTTGGCCTTTTGCCCTTAATTTAGTAATAGCAGCTAACTAGAAAAAAAACAGAAGAGAGGAGTAAGAATTAAAAAGATAGCTGCGGCCCTTTCCAGATACTAACTAGTGGAATCTGGCTATTCTGTTAGATATTAGCAGAGTATTAACATGTATTAATACTAACAGCATTACCACTAACATGATTAACATAATTACTATAATTTAACAGCACAGAAGACAATGGTCTAGAAGATGATGAACAAAGTTTCAGTTTATTTCAATCTAATATAAATAGTTTAACAACAGCTAAACTGTAGGCTTCCAGCTCTGTAAGGGAACCACAAGCCTATTTTGGAATTTTTCAAATCAAACACAGAATAAATTCTAGCTCTAGCCCTGAGTGGCTTGCAAGTGTAGGCAAATTATTCCCTTTATCAATCTCAGTTTCTACATTTAAAAAATGGGGGAGTTGGGTGCAATGGTGCACACCTGTCAACCCAACACTCGGGAAGCTGAGCCAGGTGGATCACTGTAAGTTTGAGGGTAGCCTGGGCTACACAGTGAGTTCTAGGCTAGCCTGAACTACATAGTGAGACAGTCTCAAAAAAACCAAACCCAAAACCAATAATAATAATAATAATATGGGGTGACGACAGTGTCTTTTTAAGGTGGTGGTTGTGTGGGTGGAATAAGATAATGCATGCGAAACATACACTGGTGCTTAGTAAATAGCAGGCGAACATCACAGGCCTAGAGAAATGTTCTCAATATGTGCAATTATTATCATTTGTATCACCATTATGACTAATGCAGGCAAAGCTCTGGCATGGAGTGAACCTTTGCCCTTAATTTATGCATAGCTGGTGTACAGAGAAAAGCAGAGGGCTTGATGAGAGACTCAGGAAGTAAACAGGTGGGGTTCCGGGTGCCCCCATGCCCACTTCAGACATAGCAACTTTCAGTTGTCAACATACAACTCCTCTGCAACATTCCCTCTGAAGAAGGATTTTTGTTTTTGGTGCTGGGAATGGAACCTAGGGCCTTGTGTATGCTTGGCAAGATCCCAGGATCTACCACTGAGGTAGTCCCTAGGCCTAAAGAAGGACTCTTTAACCCACTATTTTACAGTCTGGCCTGAGCAATTCCAAGAATTTTTCATAACACAATGGCTCTGGCTATAAAGCTGAATCTTCCTGGAGGATGACTCCTTTGCCTGATGAGACAGACAAAGGCTCCAACTCTCTTGGATTAAATCAAGGGTATTATGCTGAATCTATTATCATTTAACATTACTTTCACTACTTATGAGGCTTGGTAAACAGCTGTTAGTTGTCTTTCCTGGCTATACGTGTGTAGTTTGAAACTCAAGCTGTGTCTTACTAAAGACAAGTGTAAAGAAAATAGAAGTCAGTTACCTTTTTAGCTTCTGCTAATGCATTCAGCTTTGGTCTCGGTGGTGGTGATTCATCAAAGAACAGAACGTCATCCCCCTCCAAGATGCCGCGCCCAAGCTTGGGCATCTGTGGGGCAGTGGTTCCTTCCCACGCAGGGAACTCAGTGCCCATTTGTGGAGACCGGGCAGGCGGCTGCCGAGATGAGCTTGGTACTGCTGGGCTCCCAATTGCACTTGAGCTTTGGAGAAATCTTTAAAGAAATATGCAGTAACAAAATGTATGCAGGCATCACACAGATGAAAACTCCAGAGCCCAAAGTGCATAGGGAGACTCTAGGCAGGCCACCAGCTGCTCACCGGTCAAATAATTTCCCTTCTTTAGTAAAGCATTCAAATTGGCACACATGAAGAACAATACCAGCTTTACTCACATGTAGGTTCAATGAATTCCCATTGAATAAGCTCGAATTCTTCTGTCACTTTAGAACTGATTACTGTTTTACCAAATGGCTTTCTAACAAATGCGTGCTGCACAGCACAGACCTGAAGTTGAAGTGTGGTGGGATCCTGGCCTAGGGGTAGTTCTGGGACCTCCCGGACCTCTCTGAAGCCCTTTGCATTTTAGTTTGCTCTACTGGGAAGAAGCGATGCACAGGTTATACTTGCAAGTCCTTAACGGGAAGGTACTGTGACCAACAGGGTAATTTTGTCATACTTCTTTAAGAGTTATTTTAAAATGGCAAACTTGAGAAATCAACTTGTCCAAACTTCTCATTTTATAAATGATGAAACCAAGGCTAAGTCACATTGTTCCTAGTGACAGATCCAGGCCCGGTGCCAGATAACCCCAGGCCAGTATCTTTTCACCACAACGCTCTCTCTTCTAAGCCAAGCTGCAGGGTGACTTTGCAAACTTGCCTATCAAATCCTACCCAGATATGACTTGTTTAGCTAATAAAATTCTGAAATATGTCAGACTGTGTTATGGCTTATATATGTATATCTAGACGTCCCCCCAAAGCCTCATGTGCTTGTAAGTGGGACACCTGGGAGTGACTAGATCATGGGTGTGTAATACTGGATTGATGCACTCATGGGTTTAGGATAGTTCTGGGTATGGATCATGGATTTACTGAAGAGCTAAGATCTACCCTGGGTTTGGGTAGCACCAACCAATAGGTTTGTAGTCTGGATGGAATGAAAAAGCAAAGAAGGAAATTGCATTCTTCCTGCCTGTCCTGCTGTGGACTTTCTCCTCTGCCCTGCCTCCCTGCCTTGGCGAAACCTCTACAAAGTGTAAGGCAAAATAAATCTTTCCTCCTTTCACTTGTGGGTGTCGGGTATTTTGTCTCAGCTTAAGAAAGTAACTATCCATGTTTCCTTGAAAATAAGACCTAGCCAGAAAATAATTAGCCTTGAAAACTAGAGATCAAAACTGCCGGCCCCAATCAGCCCATTTTTGCCTCACCTGCCATAACTATTCTTTTGTAAGGCAGAGAGTGAGAGACAGATTGTAATGCTTTCTCACAGGTGCTCCCTCTTCTCTACAAAGGCCACAACTCGATATACATATACATTTCCATTTACATATTATAAAAATATACATGTATGTATGTTACCTGGAGGCAGACAATAAATACCTCTACAGATATTCTATCAGCACCCCAAACCAGTGTGCCTGAGACCAAATCCACGCTCTTATTTTTCCAGAGACTGTCCCCTTGGCTTTTAATTGACTTTGCTTTCCCTGGAACCACTTGGCTTTCAGCAGCCCAGAAGTGGGACAGCATGGAGGTTAAGCACTGGAGCAGAACAGCGGTGAGCTGAAAGTGCGCTCTATCCTGTACTGGCTCTCAGGCCTCATGGTGCATCATTAGAAACAGCGGGACAGCGGTTCCTTGCAGAGTCACTGTGCGGCCGAGTGAGACGCTGAACTGTGCACGATAAGCACGTGCAAACAGTAGCTCTATCGTGATTCAGAAAACCTGGGCTCAGGAAATCTTTGATTTGTCCACCTTCCACTTCCATTTCTCCTTGATTTCAAATGACTATATTTTTAGCGCCTCATATACTTGAACAGCAATAATCTACTCATTGGTTTGCCTGCATATTTAAAAATCTAACTAGCAAAACCTAGAAATAAGCCAAACAGGTAAACATATGCTTTCCCCTTGCCCAGCAAGTCTCTTCATACTTCATTCTTTTCTCTTCTCCACAGTGATATTAACTACTCTCGTCTGGACCGTCTGCTCTTGGGAGTCACTAGCCTAAGTTAGAAGCATTTAGCCTTCAACGCTGTTTAGGTTGTGACAAAATGGAGCCAACCTAAATCTAAAGTCATTTTTGAAATCTAGTAAGACATTCGGAGGATTCCTAAATGAATGTTATGTCTGCTACCCTTACCGCCTCTGCATTTCTTCAGATTTCCTCTTCCTCATCTCCAACATCTGCTGCTTCTGCTGCTTCAGGAGGGCCGATGCTGAGATAGACTGGATGGCAGGTTTTGGGCCTCCCAGGATCCCTAAAACACAAGCCCGAAGAGAGGGTTCTCCAGGAGGCGAGGGAAGTCGGGCATATACACCGCGGCTGGGTAAGCTGACCGTACCTGAAGTCTTGGCTTTGGCTAAATGCTTCAAATTTCTAGCCCCAAATGTTGGCAGGTCCATCAGTTCCCTGAACTCCTCAGAGCAAGACAAGCTCTTCTGTGGTATCCCTGGGACATGTAAACACCAGTGTTACAGGACTCTAAATTCCGATCATTTGATGCCATACAATGTATCGTTTTTTAAACTCTGTGATCATAATTTAGTCATCTGTGAATAAACTACATGGAGTGCTAAGAGAAAATAAAGGAACTGTAACTTTTAACATCCGATTAGTATTTAAGTATATGCAAGGGTATTAAAGTATATGCTATTTCTAGTAATGATTGGAACACTAAGCGCCTAATATCTGTGAGGTCACTTCATACACTGTTTCTGGAAAGTGCATGGTGGAGGAGTCATGTTAGGCCCTGGTCACTAGTAGGACCACAAGTACGGGGGGAGGCTGGCATTTTCTGGACTATTTTAACAAAATTGTTAGGATTATTTTAACAAAAGGTAAAATATCCTGAGAGGATTGACCAGGAACCTGATCCTACTGATTTCAGTGCTGGCCATCAAGAGTCTGATACACATACATTAAGAAATTTTTAAAAGTATACAACATGAAAACACAGCTAAGCTCTTTCCTCTTTAACTCTTTTTTTTGGTACCCAGAATTGAACTCGGGACCTTGTGCTTGCCAAACAGGAACTTGTGTTGCTGAGCTACATCCCCAGCCCTAAGCTGTTTCCTCTTAGTGTCCGGCCACCACATCTGATGCCTTTCAACCAGGTCACATCCTGACCAAGCAGTTGAGGAGCGAACAGTCATCACTTGAGTATAAGTTGTAGTCACCCTCAATCACAAACACTGAATTTTTAAGCTGGAGAAAGAAACGTAGGATGGAGAAATAAAGGTACCGAGTTTTTGCCGCGCTTCCTGAATGATGGAGTTTGTGCCCTTCACAACCAGATTGGTCAGAGTGGTTTGAATCTTCTTTTTAGGAGCAACAGCTGCTGCACTGAAATGACAAGAGCCACCCCCAAGAAGGGAAAATCCACTGACTCCAAGCTCTGCTGGTAAAGGCAGAGAAACACTCCAGGCATTCACACCAACTACCAAAGTTCCTCAGAGCACCAGGGAAGCAGGCCTTAATCTGCAATGGCCAGCAGACAGGTGGTTTACGCACAATAGAAGCATAAGAGGCAAACCACAGATTTGTTCCAAGCCCTTCTGAAAAGGTTGAAGAAATACAAAATATGCTAACACTTTGATTTAGAAGTATAGAAATCGATCTTAAAATAATTAAGGAGTAGCCAGGCATGGTGGTGGCACACCTATAATCCCAGCACTCTGGAGGCTGAGGAAGGAGGAGTACCACAAGTTCAAGGCCAGCCTGAGCTACATAATGAGTTCAAGGCCAGCCTGAATTACAGAGCAAGACTCTGTCTCAAAAACAAAGAACAACAAGGGCAAACTAAAGACTATGCAAAATATAGGCTATTAACGATAGCCTAATCAAGAATGTTCCAGCCAGCAGTGGTTAAGACAAGGCACTATCCTGCTGGAGGTGCCACAGCATCCAAGTTCATAAAATTAAGTATAGGTTCGGAGACCTCTGCAACCTGCGGAAATGACCCCAGAGATGGGCACCATGATGAACACTCTTAACCGCCCACAGTTGGGCAGATGAAGTCAGAGGAAGCTGGGCTCAGTGGCAAGGACCACCACAGCAGGACTCACCCAACCCCTCTCCCTTCTGTACCCGAGGCTAAAGAGGTCACAGGCAGCCAGCTAGGAAAGATAAAACCTGGGCAAGTGTCTTCAGACAGTTATGCAAAGCCCAGGCACCAGGCCTCCTCTCAGAAGACACGTACCATCCTTGACCGAAGAGAAGCCCCAAGAATGTCTTACATGGAGGCTGCGTAGGATTCCGATGAAATTCCTCCATAGTAAAAACCTTCTTGACACAGTCGCTCTTTCAGGCGGGTGCCTTTGCGGGCAAACTTCTTCGGAATTCGTCCTCCCGAGAAGGTGGACTGCAGATCAGCTCGCTTGGCGCTGAGCTTCTTGTACTGGGCCTGGATGTGGTACTGGCAGTACTCGCAGTCGTGCTGCGGAATGAGCAACCGCCAGGAGGGTCAGCAGGCCAGGGCCTAGAGAGGACACACCCCTGCCTCCCAGCTGGTCACCAAGACCCACAGCTACTGAGTGACAGGCTTCGTCCTCAGGTCCCTCTTAAAGCACCTGTCCAGCAAAATGCGAGGTTACTCATCCTTCCTGCCCTCTTTCTACAATGAAATACAACTGGCTTCTAGAAGAAACCTCAGAAACACATTCAGCGAAAGGAGTCAGCCACAAGAAGTCACATGTGGTTTGTCTGCTTTTATAGGATATACCCAGAGTGGACAAGTCCACAAAGACACAAAGAAGGCTGGTATCACAGGGGATGGAGGTAGCAAGGAACGGGAATGATTTTCTGGGGTGATGGAAAGTTTCAAAACTAGAGAGCTGGTGGTTGCACGGCTAAACATCACCAAGTTACATGCTCTAGAAATGGCTCATTGTGTGTACTTGAATTTGTTCTCAAAAGGTAATTAAGCCCAGTTACTCAGAAGGCAGAAGCAGGAAGATTTCAAGTTCCAAGCCAGTTGGGCAACTTAGCAAGACCCTGCCTCAACGTAAGAAAATTAAAAGGGGGCTGGGGATTTAGCTCAGCGGCAAAAGCGCCTGCCTGGCAAGCACAAGGTCGTGAGTTCGGTTCCCGGTACCGGAGAAAAACCAGAAAAACCAAAGAAAAAAAAAAAAGAAAATTAAAAGGGCTGGCAACAGCTCTGAGGTAGAACACTTACCTAGCATTCTTGAGGCCATGAGTTCGATCCCCAGGACATGCACACAAAATAAATAAGACTAAAAATAAAGCTAGCTTGTAGCAAAGGCTTTTCTAGCTATTAGTGGGTTGCTCTCTGCACAAAAGCTACCATTTCAGTAAAAGAAACAGAGAAACAAAGTCAAATTGTTGTACTGATGAACTCCTAGATGCGCTGACAATGGATTTTTAATGCACTGTTCCAGCTCTTTTATGATCTCTCAGGACTTCTTTTAAGATCTCTTTTTTGTTAACTGTCTCTCTCCTTTCTAGTTCTTGCTCGCCAGATCATGCATTATGAAGGAAAATGAGATGAAACCAAAATTTGTCATTTAAGCCTTCACAGAACTCTGAGAAGGATTTCTTCACATTCACTAGGATGACTATAATAAAAAAGACACATAAGCCAGGTGTGGTAGCCCACGCCTGTAATTCCAGCACTCTGAGAGGCTGAGGCAGGAAGATCACAATTTGATACCAGGTATGGGTAATTTATTGGCCTAGCAAGTCCTTGCCTCAAAATAAAAAGGGCTGGGGATGCAGTTTAGAGCAAAGGCCCTGGGTTCAACTCCCAATCCTCAGTACCAAAACAACCAAAAAGCAAAAACAAAAACACAATAAACAAAGAGTTGGCGAGGATGTGGAGATGTGAAGAAATTGGAACCATTAAATTGCTGGTGGGAATACACAATCATCCAACTACTTTGCAAGCCAGTTCAGCAGTTCCTTCAACTCTAAACATAAAGTTATCCCAGCAATCCTGTTCAAGGTATACACTGAACAGAAGAGAAAACACACATCCATAGAAGGACTTCTAAGTAAATGCTTATAGCAGCATTCTTCATATAGCCTGATGTGGACACAACCCAAATGTCTATCAGCTGAAGAATCTGTAAATAAAATGTGGTCTCTCTGGGGCTGGGGAATTTAGCTCAGCGGCACAGCACCTGCCTGGCAAGCGCAAGGTTGTGAGTTCGATTCCTGGTACCAGAAACAAAACAACAACAAAAAAATGTGGTCTCTCTATACAGTGGATATTTAACCATAAAAAGGAATGAGTATTGTTAAATGCTACATGGATGAACCTTGAAACCAATATGCTAAGTTAAGAAAAGTCACAAAAGGTCACATTTTGTGATCTCATTATATGAAATTTTCAGAATGGACAAATCCATGGAGACAGAGAGTAGACTAGTGCTCACCAAGGGCTGGGGAAAAAGACGGGGAAATGACTGCTAATGGGTTTGGGTTTCTTTTGGGGGTAATGAAAATGAGTATTTTGAAAGTACATAGTAGTGATGGTTGCACAATCTGAATATACTGTATACCATAAAAGGGCACATTGTATGGCATATGAATCATAACTCAATGAAGCTATTTTTTTAAAAAGCACTTTAAAGTTATATACTTTGAGTTAAAGTTTAGGATAAAATAAGGCTTTTAGCATATCTCATCATTGTATTTGATCTCTGGAAGTACAAAGAATTGAGAACAAAATACAATTCTCTTCTCCTTGTGCCCCTAGTCAGTTGGCAGTAATAGATCATTTCCTGAGAGGTTAAAGTCTCTATCCTGTTCCTGACCCCCTCCCCCAGCTTTTTCAACTGGCGATTATTAACCACACATTCAGTGAATTCAGCGATCTCATTTTGACTCTTCCTGTTAAGTAGGGAACTCAGTTCCAATTTGGTCATATGCCAAAGCACCTAGCGTCTGTTACTAGTAACTCTTGTCGTTAGCAGAGACCATCCTCACACAATTGAAACCAACCAAATTAACTGTCTGTGTACATGGTTCCCCGTTCTTCTTCTTGGCTTTACATGTTCCCAGATCAAGAGCTTCACCCATGATTAAGACCTTCTGAGGATGATCGATGGATAGGCACACCTGTCAAAGGGAAGGAGGGTAAGAGTTAAAGGTACACAAAGGCATGACCTGTTACTAGCATCAGTGGACAAAAGAATGGCTGAGGTAGATTTAAGAAGGCTTTAATGGGCTAAAGGATTTTAAAGCCAGGGCTCTGCAAAACAGTTTTAAGAGTAAGAGTACAGAAGACACAAGCAGTTGTCTTCCCAGGACTGCTTTTTCCTTCCTCTGAGCCATCAGAATTCTGATTTTATCTGGGTTGCCAAGTGCTCGGCTTCATGGAACAGATCCTACTCCCTGTTTTTCCAGCTTCCTGCTAGCTAACAATGTCGTGTAACTAAGTTCCAGACAATTAGATCTCAGCAAGAGCTGGAGGGAACTTGGTGGGGACAAAGACTTCGAGCCCTTCCTCTCCGCTTCTTCTTGACTGGGAACGCAAGATGGTCCCTGAATGGTCTTGGCTGATCCAGTTCTCCAGATTCTTGTTTGCAATTCTCAGACAAAACGTGTCAAGAATGCAATATACTAACACAAGGAGGAAAGGTCCTGGTTAACCTGGGCTTTGTCTCCATCCCTCTTAGAACAGAGTTTCTTGCAGCACTTGAGCTCAGTGAGTCCTGCGGCTAATGGCTATGAAATCTAGAGCAGAATGCTTGGGGAACCCTCACTATCATGTAAACCTGGGCATGGGAGGGCGAGACTCCATCCAGCTTTCCCAAGCCCTGAGGAATCAGCTCACTACGGATCCGAGGCTGCTGTTCCTTCTTGGTGTGTATCTCCAAGTAATAAAGTCCCCTTATGTGACTTCGGTGAGGCTTCTGTCTCATCAGACTCACACACGTGCAGCTCGGTTTGTGTAAAACTTCCTTCAAAATCTAGGAATTTTAGGAGAAATGAAGCAAAGCATTGAGAGTCCTACCCTGGAGTTGGTATCCAGTGCAGGGTTTTTTTCCCTCCCAAGGACTTGTGGCCAAGGGGGAAAGGCAGAGAGACTCACAGGGACATTGCCACATCACTACACAGCCTGTTTGGAAATTTCATGAAAAATAAATCCCACCGTTTATTGTTAAACAGAAACCACAATGAAGTTTTTCTGTTATTTGCAGCCAAACACATTCCTAACCAACAGATGAAGATTTGTTCTCATTCTCTGGTGAAAGCAAAGAATGAGGTTAATTTTTCCTCCTTATTCCTGAAACTAATTTGAGTACCAGTAAAGCTTCTACCTGGGTCAGGGTGCAGGGCTGGCCACTGCCATTCACAGTGGGTTCAGCTTTGCAATTAGAGAAACAGTGTGTAGTACCACAACTCTAACAAGCTTGAAAAGATGAAAATGCACTTTTGATTTGAATGGCAACCATAAGTGTAATAATTAATGGAGCAAAATTCCCTCCCCTATAAAGCACTGTCTCCTTGACGCTATCATGGATATTTACGAGAAAGACCTAAGGAAACCTGAGCATAAGTGTTCAAAACAATGTGGGAAAAGAGAAGGGAAAGAAGGAGAAATTTTGGATGTGTGTATACACAGAATAGTTAACATAGTTGTTCTACTGTCTTCTATTTCTTTGCTGAAAGAAACTGTCAATGAGTCCTTGATTGATCAATATTGCATGTCTCTATCTGTTTTCATGAGAAACCACTTTGAAGATATCAATGTCATACAAGAAGCATTGTTAATTTCCTACCACTTTGTTTGTAACTCTGTATTGTTTGTACTGTTCTTTTGCTATTTTGTAAAAGGCTGTCTGTCTGTCAATGTTTTCCTCCTTTTATTTAAAAAAAAAAAAAGACTTCAAAACACTCCAGGAATCTTGAACTCATTTGAATATATAATGTAAAAGTTGTTGTTATAAAACACTTTAGAGTAGGTAGAAATTAAAAATATTAGTGGATAAGGCACAAACAAAAAACAAGATTAATGGAGACACTGATATAGAAGTCTGACTTACTGTCTGGGGGTAGCCTAACATAAACACTTTCGGTAAAACACAACTAACTTAGAAGACAATCAGTCAACCAAATCATAGACACAGATTCTTACCTCCTCTGAACCATCCTTGGGCTTCATGGGGTTAGCATTCAGCAAGCCTATGACAGTACCTTGCTCTGTCTTCCAGAGTTCTTTGTGAACTTCTCCAAATAAGAACAGCGACACATAACGTGTCAGGTCACGAAGATCATTCAATCGCCAGATGCTAAATGTTTTTCCCTAGAATGAATATTTATTCTTACTTTTAATAATGTTTGCACTGTGCCATATACCACCTCCACTTAGGGTTCCAGTGGTTTACTGTGGAAAAATATTACCCTCCTCATTTAAGAAATGAATGTGAACGCAAACTAGGAACAAACTGTTAGTGAAGTCTATATAGTCAGTGGGCTAGCACTGCCTTTCAATGGCATCTCACACACACAATCAGGAGGACAGGAAGAACTAAGGGACTATCATTTAATAACTTACTGATATGAATAGACCCCAGGTAAACATATCAGCAGGTCTATTATTTATCACTAATTATATCATTAACAATAATAAAGATTTCCACTATATGCTACTCAATCTTTGCTTAGTTTAGAAGAAAAACAAAAGCTCATTTTTTTTTTTTGTGGTACCAGGGATTGAACTCACGACCTTGCACTTGCCAGGCAGGTGCTTATGCCACTGTGCTATTTCCACAGCCCTAAAAAAGCTCATTTAAATTTGCAAAATATCAGAGGTATTATGAAGTATCTGAAGAAATACAACACAATATGCTGATCATAGACAAAGCATGGTGATCCCATGCCTGTAAAACCAACAGGTTTGAAAACTTCGCAGACACTATATCATGCTGCTAGGTACAAGGCAATAACTGCTGCACTTTAGTGCCTGATACTTTATATCCATAGGGATCTCCAAAGGATCCATCAACTCAACCTCTCTAATGACTGACCCTTTTCTCCATAGGAGACAGTAGAGTGTCACAGAGACAATCATGTGAGTCACCAAAAAGAAAGACAAGTAGGTGGGTGTAGTTCGTAAACTTGGTCCCAGCACTTGGGAGGCCAAAGCTGGAGGATCAAGAGTTCAAGGTCAGCCTGGGCTACACAGAAAGATCCTGTCTCAAAAAACCAAAAGCAAAAACAAACCAGTGACAAATAAAATACAGTGAGAGGGGCTGGGGATTTAGCTCAGCGGCAAAAGCGCCTGCCTGGCAAGTGCAAGGTCGTGAGTTCGGTTCCCGGTACCAGAGAAAAACCAAAAAAACAAAAAACAAACAAAAAAAAAAAATACAGTGAGAATGATCTGGACAACGAAAGGTATAAGAAATCTACACAATTAACTCCTGAAGTAGGGCATTCTTTACATGTATCTTCTTGAATATCAATCAAGGGTATATGGCAACTAGAAATTATTTCAAAAATTTGTTGACAGGCAACAAATAAAGAGTGTGAGTCCCCAATGTTAACCTGTGATGAAGCAGCTCAGAAAATAGTTACATGATGTTAGGACTCGTGTCTACATGTTCCCCCAAAGCCTCAGGGGTCAAGGGGGAGCTCTTCAGAGGTGGATGGATATTAAGGGCGTGTGATTACTAAATTAGCTCACTGATGGGTTTGGCACAGTTTTTAGGATTAAGAGTATCTCACCCTAAGAGTAGCTACCTGCCCTAAGCGAGGGAAGCCTGGATAAAATATAAAGGACAGAAAGAGGGCCAGTGTGGTTGCTTCTCACTTGCTTGCTACTTGCCTGCCCTATTTTGCCACGGACTACCTATTCTCTGCAGTATCCCTCTGCCACCTTGGAGCCAGTCCATTACGGATAGATATCTCTACGAACTGTGAGCAGAAATAAACCTTCCCTCTTTTAACTTTGAGTGTTGGGTATTTTGTCTCAGCAATGAGAAAAGTAACTAAGACACATGGCTTACACTGTTAGTACTCTGTGGGGTGACTTTCTTCAAAATAACTCCAAACGTCACCCAGTCCATTTCTTCCAGCTTCTCAATGGCCATCTTTTCCTTGATCTGAGACAATCTGATCAGTTTTCGGCCAACCATTTTCTTGCTCATTTCTGTGGAGGACACTCGAGGTCGCCTGGGTTCAGAAAGCAATAATTAAGAGATTGTTATTCTAATAAGGGATTACTGGGCACCTTACAAGGTGGTAAGAGATGTTATGGGGAGAAATCTATAGAGTGCCTCGGGAGTTTACTTTTGTAGACATTTCTTTGGATATGGATTTACCCTTAAAAGTTTATTTTCTAAGTTTTTATGTTATTTTATAAGATCAACTATAAGATGCTACTATCCTCATTAAACTATATAATCTTTATTATGCTCTTTTTTTTGTCTTTTTATGACAGGGTCTCACTATGCAGTTCAGGATGGCCTTGAGCTCACTTTGTAGCCCAGGCTGGCCTGGAACTCGAAATGATCCTCCTGCCTCAGCCTCCCAAATGCTGGGATTACAGGCATGCACCACCATGCCTGGCTAAACTATATATCTTTAGATATTTAAAAATAACCTACCATCCCGAGCACTGAAAAAAATAATTAAATAAAAAATAACAGTTTATACCAAAACTGTAAAAAAATTTTAAATAGTTTGTGTCAGTATTTCTGCCACTTCCTGATGAAATATACTATTATTTGTCCATTTCCTTTTTACAGGTAAACAGCCTTTATTCACTGCATAAGTAAGAATAAGCCTTCCTAAAGCATTTCATATGTGACTGGGCCGAGTCAAGTTAGTGCTGCTCTATTCATACTACAAGCTTTGTCCAGCCCAAGTGCTATTGGTATTCTGTGAATCTGCTACATGAATGTGCCGCTTCTAAAAGACTGTCTTCCAGAGGAGGAAGGGCTATCCAGTAGTGTACTGACCTGAGACGCAGGCCAGAGAAGGTTTCCATGGAGACCTGCTGAACTGGTTCCCGCATGCTCCCTGAGGTCCCCAAGCTCCGATCCCTAGTCATCTCACTGTGTTTTTTCCCAGGAATAGTCTGGAGTAGTTGGGAGGGTGTACTTGTCATCCCTGAAGAAGAGCTTTTGGATTCTGGAAAATTAACATAAGGATTAAATGGGGAAAACAACACTAGTAAAGTATAAAATTTGCTTACACAATTGTTTTATTTTTAACATGTATGACAATCAGATTTTGAGAACAGAGGAAGCCCATTGTATATCCAGTTGATATAGACCAAATCTTGGTAGTGCAGGCCAACAGAACTTTCTGTGGTGATGGAAATGTTTTATGCTAGTACTGTCCATAATAGTGGTGGCCTCCTGTCTCATGTGACCACTGACCACACTAAATGTGACTTGCAGTTCTGTGGAGAGTTTCTAACTCAAACTTACATATTTACTCTTTTTGTACGCAGTTTTGGGGATCAAACCCAAGGCCTCACACAGGCAAGGCAAGTGGTCTACCACTCAGATATAACCCTAGTTCCTTCTAATTTAAATACACACATGGGGCTAGTATCTACTGTACTAGACAGTACAGTTTTAAAACATTATTATTCCATTCCATGACCTTCACTGAATATTCACCATGTGTAGACACTGCAGTAGTAGTTACCATACTGGAGTAAAGGCCCCCTTCAGGAATAAACAGTAGATATTTATGCACAGAGCAAATTCTCCATTAAAAATCTGCAAAGCCAATTCCCCTTCCTTCTTTCTTGTTGCACTTCATTTCATTCCATTCATTTGTGGGGTGGGGGAGAGAAAGGGGACCAACATATTCTGCTGATGACGGCACACATTAAATGTCCCAGACGTGCTAACCTTTCCTATTTCAGAAATACTTAGAATACCCTCAAAGGTCAGAAAACTTGGTACTTTCCATAATAAAACAACACTATGTCTTAGCAAAGAGCATGCTGTTTACCCTCAAAGGGACTTTGGATCATTGTTCCTGGACCAGGGGACAGGACAACTCTAGAACTTTAGAACTACATGCCTCAAAACAAACTTTAGACACTGCCCAATCACACAGCTTTGTAATGTCAAAGGTCTCATGAGAAGAGACAATATTCATAAATGGATAAACTGGACATACAATTTGCTATGCAATTAATATGGATAATTAAAGGCTCCAGTGGTTCCCTGTGAGTCATAAGCCAAAGGTACTTAAAGGGCTTTTCTGAACAAATGTTTCTTCATCTAAGCTGCATTATCTCTGGACCATTTTATCTTAGGTCTTTTGAAGAATAACAACCTTGGGCAAACTGAGGCAACACAATAAAACCAATACACAGGGCTTATTAATTCTTTTCATGTATATATTTTTTCTTTGCTTTGTATTATTACCTTCTATATTCCTGGCAAAGAAGTTTCTAAAGAATGGACCGTCTGGCTCAGTACACCCTACTTGCAAATAAAACTTGACTGCTTTATAAGAAGGAGGTACCTAATCTCGCAAAGATCATCTCCAGACTTCCAGCATGAGACTTTGAGCTAATGGTTATACTTACTGCAGTCCAACTAAAACAAGGCTAACAAATTAAACCTGTTAACTACTGAGCAAATACCTACTGTGTACCTAAGGATGCTCTAAATAAGTACAGCACTTTGAGATGTAGAAGAGCACAAAATATATCCTATGGCTCTCATTTCCAAGAAACTTATTATTTATTCTCACTGGGGAGATGAGACAGACAAACACCCAAAAGACACAAGTATGTGACAGCTATAGTATATTTCAGACAGAGCCCGAGCAGTGTACACAGCAGCAGGCCCGAGTGCCACACCTGGAGAGATCCTTGGCGTCCGAGCCACCCGCCTAGTTTTGGGTAGAGTAGGGACATCAAGCTCCGCAGAAAAGCACGCCGACTCCTGAATTCTCTGAACTTTCTTCTCCTTCAGTGGGGGCCGTGTGGTCTTACTTTCTTAATTAAATAGAAAAGAAATTAGTAAAGCTAATTTATGGAGGGGCTTAAAATCTTTTGTGCCAGGTGCCGGGGCAAAAATACGAACTATTGTCCAAGTGAGTCTTATTACCAGGGGATTTATGCAGAAAGGCTGGACTTTCAGGCTGTTTAATTGAGGCTGCTTTGAGCTGTTCTTGTAAGGACTTCATTTGCTCTTGCAACTTCCTTAATTCATCTAAGGAAAATAAAATATATTGACATAAGAACACTGTGGGAAAAAAATTATACATGAGAAAAACACTAGCAATATTCTTGTTATCCATCCCTTGCCCCAAACCCTGAGGCTCACAAGTTACATAAATTTCTAATATTAATTTTATACTGATTAATTTTTAATACTGATTAATTTTTATACTTCCAAGAGGTCCCCCAAGAGAAATAAACTTTTTAATTTCTAGTAGTCAAGCCTCTAGTACTTGTTAAGAACTTGTACTACTGCAGATGTCATAGGTGCACAATGATAGGTAACACATTTTAAGGCATCAAGAAATGATTGTATTTATTTTGTAAACTGAAATATCATAGCTAGCAGCTTCGGTTCAGGAGTGGTCCTCTGTTCCAATAGAATGTGCAGCAGTCCTTGCCTGGCCTTGCCCTGGCTGTACATGCACATAAATGCCCAAGCACTGTAATATTATTCTGTAACAGGCATGAAGAGTGCCAGTGCGGAACATCAACTATGGCTGGCAACAATAGCAGGAGGCCGACAGGTGCTGAAATGCTAAACCTAAGAGTTTCACCTACCAACTCATATATTATCTGCACTCTTGAATCAGCAGCTATTGTGATGAAAACTGTCAAACTTGTGCTCTTTATCTATTTAGCATGAGGATATTAGGGAAGGCAAATGGTTGGTTAGGGCACCTTGCAGCTGCTGATTGGTTTTCTCTTGATTAGGGGCAGGAGCAGGGAGGACATTGTTTTCAGCTGGTTGCAGGACAGGGCCTTCCTCATCTGTTAAGTCCCCCACATCTCCAAAGAGAGTGGCCAGATTTTCCTTCTGGTCTCCCGAGTTTCCTACGTCTCCATCCTCAGCCTCTTCTGTGTAGGATTCACCGTCGCCATCAGCATCAAAGAGCTCATCATACTCGTCAGGTCCACCATCCTCCTGGGGCAAGCAGTTCCTCTCCTCTGTATGACAAGCCAAGGCTGACTGGTTCTCCTCCAGCAGGGCTGTCAGCAGAGATAAATCATCCTCCTCCCCTAGCAGCAACAGAGGAGAAAGGAGAGAAATTAAGCCCACCAGAGAAAAACTGCTAATGCTGAGAAGAGCTGACTCAAAGATTCAATGTTAACGTGGCAATTAAAGTGAATCTAGAGGTTCACCATTTTGCCTGGCAGATTTGTTGTTCTTTTTGTGCCTCTCTTTCCTATCCCTGGGAGAAAGGACCAATATTTGCTTGGTGACTACAGTGAGTCAGCGTGAGGAAAAATGAAGCCTAGGATGACTACACTTTGGTTCAAGCTATGTGTGGAGAAGTGATTTCCAGTGGCCATTAAGTCCAAGTCAGCAAGATTTGGGCACAGGTGCACTTTGCTGGTCTCAGTGTACAGAACTGATATAACTGAGGTGGTTACAGGCACATGCCTACTACACTATTGTGCATTTTGGTATAAATGCAGACTGTCACAAGGGCTGTGGGGCCTAAGTGGCTGATGACTACAGGAAATAGTCTACAGTGGCTGAGCTGAGCAGCTGAGAATAAAAGCGTGTTCCAACATTTCCACAACTCTGTGTCTCTTCTTTGGGCTGCCCGGATCTCAGGTGACCCTCCCCAGTCACCTGAGAACTGGTGACAAGACAGCTGGCACAGAGCAGCAGGATTCGTCACAGGCCAGGCCATGGCAGAAGCCTCTTCAAGAGTAAAGCCCACAGCAGAGTTAAAAGAAAAGACATGTGCTGCTTGTCAACTGTGTCCAGAAAGAGTGCGTGCTGCTGAGATAACAGATCCCTGACGAACAGAAAGCTCAGGGCTGGAGAGACCGAGCTGCTGCTGTGCAGGAAGGCCCAGCGGATAATGACAGAGAATCAAGCAGGCAGCTGCAGCGCAGCGGCCACGAACGTGCAGGAGAGCCACGGTGGAGCCAAAGGCGGGAGGGAGCCGCCTCCCTGGGCTTCAGGCCTGAGCATGGAGTCCATACCAGAGCTACAAGCAGAATCTAAGCCTAGGTCAGAGCCGGAGACAGGCCCAGGGCCCAGGCTTAGCCGCTACAAGGAAAGCAGCCCATGACAGATCCTGCCCAAATGCCTGATTGACGGCTCCCAGAGCCAAAGACAGATAAGTTTGGCAGTGTGGTATTATATTTTTCTTTTAAGACAAAAGCTGTTAATGGAGAGGGTTTTTTCCTCTCAACTAAAACCACAGTATTGGGTTTAATTGCAGTGTTGGCACTCGGTGATAAATAGGTGGGTTTGGGTTGCAGTTTGGCACTCGGTCTCTAAAAGGATGTGGGATAGCTGCAATTGGCAGTCGCCAAGAGACAGTGGGCAGATCCAGAACTAGGAGTGAGCCCAAGGCCAGTGGAGGAGGTAGCTACGGTGTAGCTGCAAAAGACTCTGAGCAAGGTGGTAAAGAAACAGGAGCCAAGCAGATGAGAACTGCTGAAGGATGTGCCATTAACCCTTTCAAAGCAATTACGCTCCAATCAGCAATTCCAGAAGGGAAAGCCTACCCCAGGGAAGCAAACGGTTGAAACCCAGGCCATAACCTGCAGGACTACCTGGCTCTGCGGATGCCAGGCAGGTGTTTAATTTTGATTAGGAGCAGGGCCATGGTGTTGAGGTAACAGGAACACTGGAGGACTGGGGGCCTCACAGTGTGCTTGCTATTTATTGGCTCCTAACAAATGTGTATCATGTGCTCACTCTAGTGGACACGAGACAGACCGCAGCCTGATTTATGGCAATCCTGTTAAGTTCCCGGTAAGACAACCTGTGGAGATGGCTAGCAGGGATGTACCATCAAAGTAAAACCAGTTACTGTGACCGGGTGTAGGCTGTCTGTGCCTTGAGCTTATACTGGGCACAACTCTCTGGTACCTGAGGACATCCTTGGGGTGCGCCTCCTCCAGGGCTTGAAGTTGCAGGGACAGGTCACCTCCACAGGAGAGGAAAGGCAAGGGACATTCACAGGGTTACTTGCACAGCCCTACTGTGTGTGGTGGGCTGACGGCAAAGGACTTCGCTGTATGGACAGCCCCGTGTGATATACAGTTATTTCACTGTGTTGATGATATTACATTAACTCCTGATGCTCTTGCACACTGCTTGTGGTCTCCAGCTGCGCCGGGCAGCATGTAGATGGGCCATCAGTGAGGCCAAGGTGTAGCGACCTAGGCTCTCTGTCAAGTTGTGAGAGCTGTCTGGTCAGATGGGACAGAGGCAATGCCAGAGCATCATGGGTGAAACGCAGAGGTGTCCTCCCCTAACACAGTGAAACAGTTATGGACTGGCCTAAGGCATCTGGGATATCGGGGGCCTTTATTCCCCATTTAGCTCAGATCTTCAAATCTTTGTACAACCAGAGTTAAAAGGGGATAACCTGAAATAGGGCGGAAGTTGCCAAGCAAGCATTTGGGGTGGCACAACTGGCTTTCCAGCAGATATATACCCTGCAGGTGGCCGACCTTGGACACCCCCATGAACTGAACACTCATGTAATCACTGAGAGCTTTGGCAGGGGTTTGTGGCAGCACAGATGGCTGTGCATGCCTTTGGGATGTTAGTTACAATTATAAAAGGGGATGGAGGTCCACTATTCTCTCATAGAGAAACAACTAGCAGCTGTATAGGCGGCCTCATAGGCCTGTAAGTCAATCGCCAATGTGGCCCCCATAAAGGTACAAGCAGCCACGTAGCCACACTCATAGATACCTGTCCTTGAGACAGGGATCACCTAAGCACCGAAGCCAGCCAGACAGCATCAGAGCGCAGAGCACAAGTGCCCTGTCTGCTGAGTTACACCGGTGTTAGTGCCGATGGAGTACACAGATGATGCTGCACCATCGTCCCATCTACCGGAGGAGCCAAAGGAAACCCCTTACAAGGATGTTGAGACTTCTTTTAGAAGATAAAAAGGTAAGCAAAAAGCACTCATATTCCATCACCCAGAATTAGCCACTGTTAACATTAACATGAATTTATAGGTAGTCACAATACTAGGCAGCTTTAGAAACATTTACATTAAAAGCTCCATACTGTATGTATTATTCTGTACCCATCAGTCATTCAACATAGTTTGTAAATTAAATCCAAATTAAAACATATAGCTCTAGTTTATTTCTTTCAATTATTGTATCATAGTCTGTATTTTCTTTTTTTTTTTTTTTGAGACAGGATCTCACTATGTAGTCCAGGCTAGTCTTGAACTCACTATGTAGCCCAAACTGGCCTTGAACTCATGGCAATCCTCCCATCTCAGCCTTCTGAGTACTGGGATTACAGGCGTGCACCACTACGCCTGGCTTCATATTCTATACTAACACTGCACCATTTTCCAATAAAGGATATATGGTGTACTTCCAACTTTTTCCCACTACTAAGTATGTTGTAATCCTATGTGCATTCTCTTGCATCATGCACAAGCACAATCTTGAGATTGTGTCTCCAATGTAGAGTTGCTGGGTTGTTGGGTATACTGTACCCATTTCCAATTTCACCACATCCTCCCAAATTGTTCTCCAAGTGGAAATACTCTCACCAGCACTGTAAGCAAGTAATATTTCTACTCACCAATATCTTAAAATTTTGCCAAAATGATTTTCAAAAGCATCTCACCGCTTTGGTTGGCATTTCCTGGATTACTAGAGAAGGTAAAAGTTGCTTACATTTACTGAAGATTTCTCATTTCTTTTCTCCCCAACCCTACCACCAGGACGAGGGAATGAACCCAGTGAGCTACATCCCCAGCTGGCTTATTTTCCATTTTGTGACACAGTCTTGCTCAATTGCCCAGCTCAGCATGAATTTAGGATTCTTCTGCTCGGCCTCCCAGTGGCTGGAATTATAGGCATCTGCCACCACACCCAGCTCATTTCATTGTGCATGCCCTTTCCCAATTTGGGCAACATTCCTCTATAAAATCAGCTATTTAATGTAAATGTTAAGGACATCGGACCCATTCCCCTCATCTGAAAGAAAAGGGCTAAAGAGTCAGAGGGTAAGAGCTTGTTCAGGGTCACAAGACAGAGCAGGTCACTACAGAAACCTATCCACTAGATCAGCATACCAACGTCTTTTCTACCATCCTACACTCCCTCAGCAGAAAAAAGAGAGCCAAGAGCCAGGCTTAAAGCCCAAAACAGTGGTGGCTGTCTGTATCAGTAGGGAGCTGTCTATATCATTGAAAGCTAATGGATTCGCCATCACTGGCCTAGAACAAAGGACAAATCTAAACCTTACAGTCAGATGTTATATAATAATTAGTGCAAATTGCCTAGTGAAAGAAAGACTCCATTACCAAGCCAGGTGTGGTGGCACAAACCTACAGCTCCATCACTTGGGAGGCTGAGGCAGAAGAATCAGCCTGGGATACATAGGGAGTTCAAGGCAAGCCTGAACTACATATTCAAACATTGTCTCACACAAACAAGCAAACAGAAGACTCCAAGTAGTAGTGAGGAAAGAGAGAAGATGCAATCCCAGCTCCCTGTGCTTCAGAGATTGCTATAGTCCTGCAGGTAGCTACCTAAGAGGCTTCTACTACCTCTCCTTCCTAAGCTGCCAAAGACAGTACATCCCTAGAAGCCTTGGCCCACGCCCTGGAAGCCACAGGTAGATAATGCTGCCTGGTGACCCCACCCTCTCCCACCTCAAGCCCACCTTCATCATGAGATAACCAGGGCTTATCCTGTGATGCCTCCCACCCCTGTTTACTTTGTGCAACATCAAAAGCCACCTATTCTCATGTTATGCTGACCCCACCTTCCTGCTTCTTCATTCCCAAATCCTTGGGATCCATTCTCTGGAATTCATAACCTACTACTGGCAAGTTTCCCTACATCCTCAGTGACCCCTACACCAGAAATCCGGCTGTTCCCGAGTGGAAGTTATTCACACCTCACACTGCAATGTCACCTACTGTTCCACGCATACTGTCTGTGTAAGAAATATCTGTTGATCAACTTCAGCGTCCTGATGTCTTTGGTGCTTACTGCTGTCTCTTTGGGACCATTCACCCTTCTTTAAGACCATAGCTCCTCTGATGTTTGTGACACCATATTTTGCCTTTAAGAACCTCTCCTGGTGGGTTTCACCGATCATCTCCCTCAGGCCTGCCCCCAAGTGGTCCGTCTGCTCCACCTCTAACTGCTACCACCATGTTCAGGCACTTCACCATCCCTAAGGATGATCAGCCAAAATCTTGTCCCTTTCAGTGACTCTGTCCCCAGCATCTTGGCTATACACTGCTAAAGTCGTTGCTTGTCAATCTCAATAAAGGTACAACTGCACCAATCACTGCTCTTGATTTCAAGCATTCCGCTGATCCCCACAGTCTACCCTTCCAGCCCACTCACTCTAGTATCCTACCCAGCATTTCTTCAATGTGCTGAAGATGTCCGACCTGCTGAACTCCCTACAAGGATTTTGCTACCCACCATCGATGCCCCTCATGTCCTCACTTTGGACCTATCACTGCAGTCACTGCTTTCCAAAGACTAAATTTCCTGCTTTACTCTCATGCGGTCATGGTCCCTGACAAAACCTGACCCTGATTAAATCCAACCAACTGCCATCTCCACACCAGCACCCCAGCTATGAATGTTGCTGCAGAAAGACTCGCTGCTGTGCTGATTGGTTGACTTTAACTTTATGTGCATCAAGACCAAACAGGCATCCAACACAGCTTAAAATCCCACACTTCCCCCATACACTTGCTTCCCATTCTACACTTCGCACTGTCTCTTCTCAAGCCCTCTATACCTCCTCCTATTTACTCAGCCTATTTACTCTTGGCTGACAATCTTATTATCTGTTACAGGAAAACAAAACAAACAAAAAACCCAGAAGCAATCCCCTCCCTCATCTTTCACTACTAAACCTGAACATATGTTCTTATCTTTCCCTCCTACGACAACGAACAAAGTGTTTAGGTACAGCCAGTCCCTCCATTTATGTGTTGGATCCCACCTTCTCTAGGGTCCAGCTTCTCTAGGACTTCACTGTACAGTTACCAAACTCTTCTGCATCAGGAATTTTTCCCTCTCTTCTGGAACCTTCCTGTTACTACACAGTTAGTCTAGTATCTCTCATCTTACCAACTACCTGACAAGGCAGTTTTTTGGTTTTTCTTGTTTTGATTTTTGATTTTTAAAAACACTTTCGTTATTATCTTGATTCCTTTACAAAAATGAAAGCAGGAAAAATATTCAATAGTGAACTTTTTAATTTCCTCCATATTGGCTAAATTGTGAGACTGCACACCAATCAGCTGAGGTTTTCCAGCTAGATACCATAGTTTCTTAAGAGAGCACATGCCCATGAACCTTATTTTAGTGTCTATCTCGTAGAAAAAAGTTATACTTTGTATTACACAAACTACCCTGTGGGTAATTTGGTGATTTTAGGAAACAGGAAACTATCATTAGACTATAGGACAGCCAGTTTCAGGTATAACACAGTGTGATGAATTTCAACATTTGGTTTTACTTTTTTTTTTTTTGAGACAAGGTCTTACCTTGTATCGCAGGCTGGTCTTGAACTTACTATGCAGCCAAGACTGGCCTTGAACTTGCAGCAATCCTCCTGTCTCAGCCTCCCAAATGCTGGGATTACAGGTATGCACCACCATGCCCATCTGGTTTTACTTTTTTAAGGGCAAAAGTGTATTAAACTTGACTTTTAAAAAGATCTAGATGCAGACAATGGACTCAATTATACAACCAGAAAAATAATGTGTTTTCCTTGTGAAAGTCCCTTTACAACCAACACAGTCATTTTTGTGCTGCTCCAGGCTAAGCTTTGCTCATTAAGGTAGTATCTCTTTACTGGACATTACGTACGCATCCTTGAAAAACCACCCCAATTAGAAAGGGCTAAAAGAATTTAAGTTTGAACTAGACTAAAACCACTTCAACAGATGTCCACACAAGTGAGTTCTGAAGTCAAAACTGCTTTGTTCAAATCCTTGTGACAGTTTGACCAATGACTAAACATCCTTGATTTCCTATGTATCAAATATGATAGCCATGAGGATTAAACCAGTTAATATACAGAAGGCCCTTACAGCAGTGCTTGGCACAATTTAAGAACACGCCAACTAGTGGTATTAGGAAAGAGAACTGCATTTTTACTATTTCCCAGTACAATGAATAACAAGTGTGCGCATCAAAAGGTAGTTTTCCATGAAACAAAAGAGAAATTAAGAAAATGGCCAGGCCTTACCATCCATCATCAAGATAACAGTTGTACCAGGAACTCTGAAGGAGTATCAGGTGCTCAGGAGATGAATATTGTCAAACCTTGGCTGTGGGAAATCAACATTAGAAAAGTCACCCCCAAGTCTTCCTTTTTCTCATGATGCACATTCAACAAACAGAGAATCCCACAAGTGTTACGGGCTCTAATCTTAGGATTCATCTAGGATCTGACATCTGTCACTCCCTCTCGCCCCTTGGCCAACATACCCTCTTCTAGTCCATAAGCGGCCCTCTTTTACTTGTCTTTACATTATGTTTACAAAACTCAGTTGAAGCATGGTTCATACGATGCCAGGTTACACAGAGGAGGGTAAACCGTGGACAAAAACTATTGGGGCTGCTCTAAACATTAGAGCTACTATCCCATTGTATTTATTAAAATGCATCTGATGTCTACCAGCAGCTTAGCGGGTGATTCTACTTAGCTCCAACCTTGGTCAGGATTTTAATTCAACACAAGCCGGCAAGGTGAAGAGGAATACTTAGCATAGTTAATTAAACTAGAGCCAAATCATTCTTTGTGTTTGCCTTTTTTCCCTGAATGTGACCTTTAAAACTGCAAGGTTATTACTTAACTTAAGTGTACTCTAATGACTTTGCTAAGTCTAATGTCAAATCAGTCAAGGTGATTCTTTTTATTTATCCAACATTTCCAAGGACCCCACCGTGTGTAAACGCTATTATTCACTGGGGAATCATCTGCTTAAGGGGTAGGAGCAAACTTTCTTATTTCCAGTCAGCCCCTCCCCCAGCAAACCTGTGCTCTCTCTCTCTCTCACTCTCCGAAGAGCACCATGGGTTCAACCTTCAACATATGCTTTAAGTTTTCCCCTTCTCTCCAGCCTCACTGCCAAAACCTTAACACAGGCCGCTGTGGGCGGCTGTGTAAGCCTCCTAACAGCCTCTCTGCACACGCAGTCCACCCCGCGTGCTTGGGGGCAGTCATCTTTCCTTCCCTAGTAATCCTTTACGAATATCTATCAGACCACGGTATTTCCGTAACTGAATTCTTTAGTTTCTCCACGGTCCGTAGAACAGAGCCTGGGAGGAGGTGGGCGTCAATCGATTATTTGTACTTCCTCCTCTGTTCCATCCCATCCAGCGCCACCCATCTCCCAAACTTGTTCCAGCCTGACTAGCTTGCTTTCAGCTTCTCGCCGGCTGAAAGCTACTACCTTGCTGCTTTCAGACTTAAAGCTCTCTGGCGCCCCTCATTCTTCAGTCCCCTACTTCTGAGGCAGGGGTCTCACTACGTAGCGCAGGCTGGCCTCAAACTCATGGGGACCCTCCTGCCTCAGCCTCCCGAGTGATATTGGGTAAGACGGCCGGCGGGTCTTCCTTTTTTTAAGCTTGACCACTCCGCCCTTTAGGTGAAGGCCCCTCTCCTCGGTCTTTCACTTGACCCTCAGCCCTGCCTTACTGCTCATTGTCCACTACCGAGTACTTGTGTGTTATCTGTTGTCCTCTTTATAGAGTGCAAGGCTGGAGAAGGCGGATGAGTTTGGGGCCCCGTAATGAGGGTCTGCATGCAATAGTGATTAGAGACCACGAATCCAAGGAATGAATGAAGTCCAGTCAGCACGCATCTGACAAGCTTTTTCAAAAGTTACTGTGCTCTTGAAAGGAAGAACACTGGCTCTCCAGTCCCGCGCCTTGGAGCCTTCCCCACCACGCACCCGGCCGGCCCGGCTGTGTCCGGAGATCGCCCAGGCTGCCTCCGGGGTCCAGATCTCCCCAGCCAGCCCTCGAGGGCTCGCGCCTCTCGCGCTCACACTACCTCACGTCCTCTCACAACCGCGCCAGACCCACCTGCGCCCAGAATCCGCGCTTCCTACCTGGTGCAGGAGCTGCTTCCCGATCAGTAGCCGAACCCGCCAAAATTCCAACCAGACTCCGCCCCCTCCATCTGTCGTCAGACGCACGCGGCCGGAGGGCCTCGCGGCTTGGCTACGTCAGAGTCCTAGGAGGTGCCTACCGGGTGGAGATAGCGAAACAAGGCCCCGACAGAGAACAATCTGATTGGCTCACTCCATCGAGCGCCATCTTTGTTGAGGGCAAGAGAACTTCCGGTCGGTGAGCAGCTAGGTAAAATGGGGTGTATGGCGCCTCCCAGGGCCAGGAAGTTTAAGACCTAGAGTATGTTTATCTGCGGTCCAAACTAAATTCCTGACCCTTTCCAGAAGTATTAGTCTTTCTGAGACCCGTTTTAAATTTCTATGAGGTGGAGGGTAACAATGAGGTAGGGAAATCTGGGTATTTTTACACCACCGTAAGGCTGCCCTCAAAACTGTCCCGTGAGGTAAGTGATTATAGAAGTCTCAGCAAACTGGATGATCATCACACTTAGATTTCTGCCCTTGTGTCCACTTGAGATGTTTGGACTCAAAATCAAGCAAAAAAATTCTGTCTATCTTTAACTTCAACCTTCAGGAAGTCAGGTATCTAGTTTGCGTGTCATCATCTGTACAATGAGGATATGGATGACAATCTTTGATTCAGAAACCACTATTTCCAGAGTAGCTCAAAGTCCATAGACTGAGAATCACAATTCGTGTCAGAGTTCACAAAAACTTATCAGCTGGCCATATTTTTCACAGAACATTCTTTAGTAAAATTCAGACCCCAGTAAGTACTTATATTTTAAAGTACTTGTACACAATTCTAGTAACAATTTCTAAATTCAGATAAATGCAGGATATTTATCTTCTACACAGTTTCAAAGCAGAAAAATTTTAATGGATCCAGTTACCATTTAGAGGGTATTTTTTTCCCCCTCTTGCAGACACTATTTAGGCACAGCACTCACCGGTATATTTCATGTAAGATAGTATTGCTACCCGCTCCATCTGCCTTTATTTCAGGAGAGTTAAAACCAGCATTAGAGTAAGTGGAAAATAAACAGTTTTAATGTCATCTACACTGATTTTTTTCTGTGTCCCAATGGAGTATCAAATGCTCCATTTATGACCTCAGCACTATTATTTGAGCCTGTTATACTGACCCAGAAATAGGACTAATACCACTTTTCAGAACTGCTAGTCTTAAAAAATTCACAGAAGTGGAAGAAATACAGTAACAGAATTGAAGAAAGGTGTTCAAATGTTCCACTGAATTTTACTTACATATTTATTTATTTATTGGTGGGCAGGGTCTCTCCATTTGTAGTGTAGGCTGGCCTTGAACTCCCAGCAATCCTCCTGCTTCAGCCTCCTGAATGCTGGAATTACAGGTGTGTGCCACCGCACCTGGCTACTGCATCACTGCATTTTAGTTACAAGGGTTCATCATAGGTTTAGTCTTAGCCATTATGCAGAAATTCCTTGACCAGTTTTGATTGGACATTCTGAAATTCCTTTCTTGCCCTTGATCTTGCTGATCCTCTTTGCATCCTATTCTATTTGAGGGGTAGGAAACTACCATTCTAAGTCCTCAAAATTTCCTGACTGGGGAATCAATTTTTATTGGAGTTAGTTATAGTGGCAATTTGGAGGAAAAAAGTAAAAGCAATTTTGAGGATTTCAATGAGATACAGGACTCATCGAATGTGGAGATGTTAGGGAAACGGTTTAGAATGGCTGACAGATTTCTCATTTATGTAATTGGGTGTTTTCCAAGGCAATGTTTGAAGAGAACATAGAATACCAGAACATATTTAAGGGAGGTAATAGATTAAATTTAATAGATTAAATAGATCTTCTATGTCAGATTCTACTGGCTACTCTGACATAGCCAGTGGTTTCTAAATTTAATCTAATTGATTAAATTTAATAGATTGAGATAATAGATTAAATTTAGATTAAATAGATACTGATAAGAAAGGCCCAAAACTATCTTGATCTCCAGTGTAGAGTCCTAAGGAGAGGTTGCAGTCTCTTTAGAATAGAGGGAAGACTCACAAACTAAGTTTCTCATCATCAACAACTAATCTAAAACAGTCTATATTGCAGTAGTTCTTAAACTTTGTGGGGGTGATCACAAATATTTCTCATTTGTAAAAATGATGATGATAGCTTTTTCCTCTCTGAGAAATAAGCACTCACACTGAAGATTTTGAATTCCTTCTCAGAGTTTCACATATTTTCCTAAAGCCTATCAATAGTCACTCCTCCAGTTAAGAACCTTTGATGCTGACGGCCAAAACTCTGAGGAGCATAAACATCTGAAGGGTTAGTAGGTGAGGTAAAGAAATGCCAAAGTGAGCTGAACACTTGCAGCCAGCATGGTTAGGAAAGTGAGCCCCCCTTAGCTAAGGCCAGAGGGACCCTGGCCTGGACATGCATGTCACATGGCTCCATTTTCATCCTCTTCCAGCTGTACCCTTCCCCACAGAGGATGGCACCAGGGCTGAGGAGATATACCCACCTGATCCTGGGTGCCCCTTGTAGCCAACACTACTTCCTGGGACCCTGGGATTTTTTATTTTAATCCAAATAATCTAAGCCTACTTCATGGGTCTGTGCAGGCCTCTTCCTCTGGTCCTTCTATGGAGTGATCCCTTTATCTAAAGAGTGATGAAGGGTCAGCTACTTGGTGGTAGGTGGGTGGGGGTGAAGGGAGCCTCAATAGCAAGTTTGGGTGTCTCCACAGTTGATAGACACTTAGAGGAGAGAAACCACCAAATGCAGCCCAGAACTGAGCTCTGATAGAAAGAGAAGCAAGGCTGGGTCCCCTTTCTCATGCTGATGTTTGTGTGAAACCCCAAGAGACGAAACTGTAAACTTCAACACTGCACAGATGGAGTACATAGGCTTCAGCTTATATTCTTGTGCCAGGTTTTCTCAGTATAGGAGGTGGACCTGCAAGAAAATGATGGAACAGTATGCAAAGAAATGGTACATGTCAGAACCACAGAGCTGTCCCTCTAAAAGGTGGTCCCTGGTCCAGTAGCATGAACATCACTTGGGATCTTGTTGGAACCTGGGCCTAATGCCAGACCTACTGAGTCAAAAATCTAGGAGGACCCAACATTCTGTGTTCATCCTTTGTAATAGTTCATGTCTTTATAGCTATGATCTAAAATGGTAGAGTGCATCAGAATCGTGGGGGGACACTTTAAAATATATCACAAAACAAGAAAGGAAAGCAAGTAGAAGAGAAAGATTGGTCTCTAGCCTCCTTGGCGTGAATGCCCTGTAAGATTACTTTGTTAAATAACTCCCCTCACCATCCCCTCTGAAAGTCTTTATTCCCCATATCCAGTTACACAGGCCCTATCTCAGATTTCTCAAACCCATTATCTCCTCTGCATCCTGTCAGGAACTTCTTTAGGCACTCATCATTTTTCTTTTTAACCTTCTATGGGTCTATTTTCAACCTCACCCACCTCCAATCCACTTCTCTTCTTGCCTCCGTTTATAACAAAATCCTGGCATGTTTTGTCCTTAATTAAAATTCATCAGTAGCACCCCAGTTCCTATAAATTTCAAACTTCTTGCCATTCAAGAGTTTTGCTTACAGACTTGACTTTTGTCCTCTTTTTCACTAATCTCAACTCTGGCCTTTCCCCTACTGAAGCAGGCTTCCTTCTAGCCACAAGGAACCATTCCTTCTTCCTCAAATACTCCAGGCTCTCACATGCCTCAGAGACTTTGCATATGTGGAGTCCCCTGCCTGGAATGACTTCAACCACCTGGTTGGCTCCTATTCATCACTAAACTCAGGCCAGGCACCCCTCCTTTGTGAAGCTCTTCTGGACTCCCTGAGCTAAGCATTTGGTTTTTT